CCCGCCAGCAGCAGCCTGCTGCTGTCTCAACAGTTCAAACTGTTGAGCACCTTGTTCTCTCAACAACTCTGCTTGTTGAGAACCTTGTTGGTGAAGCAAGGCTACTTTGTCGCGTTCAGCGTCAAGTTCATTTTGAATGAACTTGGCGATAGTAGCATGTTGGGCATCTCTATTGAGAGCCTCTAGCATGACGCTAACAGCATGGATGCCCATGGTCGAACCCATTCGTTCAACCGCATCCCATTCGACATCGCTCAAATGGGAGTAGCCGTCACGCGTAGCGTGAAAGCTTTGGTCATCTTCATCATCCAACATATTCATGTTGGATGTGAACGCGGTCCTTGGACGGACTACGAAGTGCTACCAGGTGTAACGGGGCACCCTGAAGCTTGTACTGGTGACAGTACAAGCTACTTATTCTGATAACAGAATAAGGCGGTGCCTCGTAACTTCACGTACACTCGCACGTGCAGAGGAAGACGGTAAGAAGAAGCGAGTACTTGGTTAGAGTAAAAAGTAGAACTGTATTTATAATAGTTAATGTCTGCAATAATCACTATTTATCTTCATCTAAGTATGTCTAAATACAAATGTGTAAATCAGTTATCTGCTCACCACTCATTGCGTGCGTCTGTCGTGGCGCGTCTTCGTTGGTTGATATAATGGCCTATATCAACCAATTAGGAACTACTTGTAAGTGCTACAGAATATTTGTCCTTATGACAATATTCTGAGAATATAACTCTTATAGTTTTATTCTATTAACAATTTCTTATAAATTGTTATGTAACGATTCACCCCGTTACATCACCCCCCCCTTAACCATCAGTCACTTTAGTGACTGATTGACTAAATGGATACTCGTCCCAAATCATTTGGGACAGGGTTTGCACTTGTTGGTCCGCGTCCACTTTCCAACATTTCATCGCATTTTTAACAAGCCCATGCGATGCGCGAGCAAGGCCGCCGAGAGCGCGTCTGCACGTCTCTGTGCGGACGCCGAAGCAGAAACAACAGCAACTGATGTCCCATCGGTTGCTGAAGCGACCCAGCCTGTGTCACTTGGTGACGCAGGCGCTGGTCATGAAGACACTCGTGTCTTCACAGAGTACGAGCTCGGTGTCTCGTACTCTCCTGATACGGATGACGGATCCGTATCGACGGCAATTGAATCCAAGCCGCCTGCCAAGCGTGGCATGGACGATGCTTTGCGTCGCAGCATCTTTGGTTCATCTGACGAATCAGATGAACCATCGCCGAAGCGAAGGCGCTCGAGGTCGCGAGACTCGGGCGCTAATAGTGGTGTCGGTTCTCCAATGGACACCACTTCACAGCGAGGTGCCAGTACTTCTGTTGGCACGTCGCAGGAAGAGCGGGACCGCAATGTGTTGCGTCTCGCTCCAGAAAATAAGGCATGGATGCCTCCTAAATCCGTCATGGATCACTTGTCGGCGATGACGAGTGATCGTTATCGAACACGATTGTTCGATTCGTCAAGGATCCATCACCTTGACCCCAGCGCGAAAGACTATCGCGCTGAACACGAATTCTTCATCGATGCTTTCTTCAGACATCGATGGTACAGTGGGAATCACAAACGTGATGGTCCCTCACTACTTCAGGCGTGGAACGCCTACATCCATAACCTCGAGGATGTAGGTCGTGACGCTTGGAACGACAAACTTATCAAAGCTCGTGATAAGTTTGAAAAGCGAACCCCGACAGGTGCACGCTACAAGCTGCATCGTCTGTCAAGGGAGAAAGGATTATTCTGCCTCTCTTGGGGAGACCCGTGCCCATGTTGTGTAAACAACTCTGCACGAGCACCTAAGGAGGCTTACCTCCTTACCAGTCCGTGGTGGCGCGTACGTGTCTTTACTGAGATGTACGAAGGGATTGACAATCTGAAATCCCTTTACGACCGTGCCGGGAAGACTTTCTCCGGCGGTCCTTCTGCGGCACAGGATGTGCCGCGTCGTACTGCTCAACCAGACCCAGTACGTCAACCATCAATTGGGAGCGGGGCTCCCAAGAATCCCAGGACGGGGGATAGCCGCGCCACCGGACGAGGTAACTCGTCCGACGTCCGTTCACGTCGCGGTGGTTCAACAGCTGCTCAACTAGATAGCGCTGGCCACCGAGAGAGTCCTCTAATGGAGGTGGAGGAGGAGGAAAGACGCTCTCCACACGATCATGTGGATCGGTGTGTTCCCGAGAGCTTCTTTGATCGCGTAACGCAAGGGTTACGCGACGATCTCGAGCATGAGCGGAATAGGCGTCTCCAGATGGTGAACACTGCCTTGAAGCACCGAGCTGAGTTTGCCTTTGCTCAGCTTGAGAACGAGAGATCTCTGACATCTCTTCGTGACGAGCTAAGGGTAGCTCGTGGGATGGCTGATCGGTCTCGGGATGAGATAGCTGCTCTTCAGACCCTTGTTGATGCCCACCATCGGGAGCACAAGGCTCTCTGCGAGATGCTTGAGCGCAAGGGCGTTCTTCATCGGAAGAAGCAGCGTACTGATGGTACGGCTTAAGCCGACCAACGTAAAACGTGGGATGCGTTCGCATCTTACGTGGTAACTCGATCGTGTATGCATTGCCTAGGCGGTGCAATACACGAAATGGGCCGATGTACTTGGGTAGAAGTTTACTGCTACCCAAGTTAGTCACTACATGCTTTGGTAGATTAACCGTAGACAGTAGGACTAAGTCACCTTTATTAAATAAAAGAGTGTTTGCCCTTCCATTCTTGTCAGCGTTTTGCTTTTGCTTATCCACCGCTTCGGCGATGGAGTCTTGCACAAAACGGACTACCGTTTCACGAGCCAGTATGAACTCATCTGATGACTCGTTAGCTTCAGTGTGCTGTGAGCGCACTGCAGCAACAACAACCTTTTCTTCAGTGAGGGCTTCCGCACTCTCACTGGAATCATCTTCTTCAGTGAGGGCTTCCGCACTCTCACTGGTATCATCTTCTTCGATATCGATGTTATCGATATCGGCATCGAACGCAATGACTTCTTCGTCAGAGCGTGATGAGCGTGAACCAAATCGGTTTTTGCTCGCGCGAGTCCCTCCCCCCCTTAAACCAGAGTTACACTCTAGTAAGGTGGGTACACGCGGATGGCGCAAGCCATTCACGTAAAACGGTGTATGTGTCGTGGACGCATGCACCGAGTTGTTGATGGCAAACTCTACCATTGGCAAAAACTCACTCCAACTCTTAAAGGAGTGTACGTATCCTCGAAGTATCTCTTCAAGGACACGATTGGCACGTTCCGTCTGACCATCTGACTCTGGATGATCAGATGTTGACATCTTCAAGCGCGTTCCGAGTGATTTGAACACGGAACGCCAGAAATCAGCAGTGAATCGTGGATCTCTGTCTGATACGAGTTCACGGGGCAACCCATGAAGTCGGAAGATGGTGTCAATAAAGACACAAGCACAGCCACTTGCCGTGATTGTCTCTGTTACAGCCACAAGGTGTACCATTTTGCTGAATCTGTCAACAAATACGAGAATACCCGTATTCCCGCGTGCGTCTTTGGGTAACCCGAAGACGAAATCCATTGAGATGGATTACCAGCACTCAGCCGGAACCGGTAGAGGCTGTAAAGGTGCACGCATTGAAGGACTTGACTTCACTCGTTGGCAGACTTCGCATGCGCGAACATACTTTCGCACAAACTGATACTGGCGGGGCCAGTAAAAGTCTCGACTTACCGTGAGATATGTTTTCTCTCGGCCACGATGTCCTCCTATAGGAGCATCGTGATACTCGAACATGATCCGCAAACGCAGATCAGTATCATCTGGAATGACAACACGTGGTGTGTCACCAGAAACGGCTGTATAATACAGTAAACCGTTACGAGTAGTGTATCGATCTGATGTAGATCGATACGCAGGCGACAATCGTTTCAACGATTCTCGGGATGGTTGGGAGAGATGTGACAACAACTTCACTATCTCACCATCTTGGGCGTATGCCCGCCTCACATCATCATACAACATTGTAGATGGAACTGAGGACGTCATAACCGCAACAGTGACTGTCTCACTGTTGGGTTTCGCGACTGTTTCAAAGTCGGGACGACGTGAGAGTGCATCAGCGACGACATTAAGTCGTCCTGGTTTGTACTCGACCGTAAAGTTGTATTCTGCAAAGAATGACAACCACCGCGCCATTCGTTGTGAAAGGTGCGGGCTGTTCACTGCCGTGCGTAAGGACGCATGGTCAGTGTAAACAACGAAGGGTCTATCTCCTAATAGATAGACTCTGAACTTCGCGAGTGCATACTTCATGGCAAGGAGTTCCTTGTCATGCACTGGATAGTTCCGCTCAGCTGGTTGCAGCTGACGCGACTGATAGCAGACGACGCGTTCAACGCCTTCAAGGTCGTACTGCATTAATGCACAGCCGATTGCGAAATCGCTGGCATCACAGACCACATGAAATGGCCTGTCCTGATCGGCTATTGCTAGGACTGGGGATTGTATCAAGCTCTGCTTGATACCTTCAAAGGAGCGTTGACATTCAGCATTCCATAACCACCTCTCGTTCTTTTTCAACAAACGAGAGAGGTGCACAGTCATCTCGGCGTAATTGCGTGAGTACTTATGCAAATACGCCGCTAGCCCAAGGAATTTTCGAAGACCTTTGACATCGACCGGCACAGGCCAGTCGGTGATCGCCTTGATCTTTTCGGGATCAGGACGTACACCGTTCTTACCAACGATGCACCCAAGAAGTGGTATTTCGCTTGCTGCAAATATACACTTCTTGAGGTTAGCATACAATTGATGCTTTCGCATGATTGTAAGAACTTGTCGGACGTGGTACCTGTGAACCTCAACGTCCGACTTTCCATCCATAGCTCGACTATGGATGAATACGTCATCGAAATAACTCGGCGCGAACTCTCGTACTGGCCTCAACAGATGTGATACACATCTGTTGAACGTGGCAGGGGCATTACTGAGCCCTTGTGGCATTACTAGCCATTCCCAGAGCATGCCGCTAGGCGTGCTAACTGCGGTATAGGGTATATCCCGTTCCGCATTAGGATTTGATAGAAGCCATCCATCAAATCCATGGACGAAAAGATGGTACTCTTTGACATACCATCAATGATTACGTCCTTCCTCGGTATCGGCGTCTGAGCCGGTACCGTTGCAGCGTTCAATTTGTTGAACGCGTGCACTATCCGCCACCCTCCTGTTGCTTTTCGCACACAGAAGGTCGGAGAGCTATGTGGGGAAGTTGATTCCCTCACATGGCCCGCTGCTAAACGATCGGCAAAGAACTTGTCGATCGCAAGTACTTGTTCACGAGGCAGTGGCCACTGCTTCATGACACAGTACTTCGAGCCTGGTTTAAGCTCGACCTCGTGACGAATACCTTTATCCTTTGGTAATTCGCACGGAACAGTTTCAGGGAATACATCCTTGAATTCAACCAAATCTTCATAGAGAGGATTTTTCTTGAGCGATTCCCATGATTGGGACTCATATCGCTCAATTCGTGTCTTTTCATCTAGGACACTCTCGTCCATAGATGAACTACTGAGAACTCTCTCGTTCTCAGTAAACACTGTTGCTGACCTTATGTCGGTTACACACTCGTCGTCAGCGACGAGTATGCAGATCTGCTTGACTTTGCCACTACGCAGATCACGCAAGAACCTTTTATGTTCGAGCGTTGGCAACTGAGTGATCTCCGAAGTTAACTTCGGAGGCGCAATCAGATCAAGTGTATAAGCGCCTACACTTGATCCGTTATTGACTATGACATTCAATGTCTCTGTCATTTCCTGGGGACTTATTCCCTCAGGCTTCGAAGGACTTATTCCTTCGTCTTCCCGGGGACTTATTCCCGCGGGTTTCGGGGAACTTATTTCCGCCGTATTTGTAATCTTGGGACTTATTCCCTTTACTTCCTCTAGCTGGGGTTGCGCAACCACAGCGAGATCCTCTACGAAAGACTCTCCAGTCGATCTAGGATTATCGTTTCGCTCAACCTGAGCGATCGATTGTTTCTCTTCTAGATGTTCCCCTCTAGGGATAAATCTTTGTCCCAGTCCACCCGACTTATTCGAGGGGTGGACCTTCGGCGCAGCCTGTGTTTCCTCACAGCCGCCGGAACTTTGCTCCAAAGTGTAACCGTTTGTTACACTAAGGTTTTGTGCAGTCGCACTAACGACCGTACCACAAGTGAGGCCATCGCACTCACTCGTAGTACATCCACACGCTTGTGGACGCTCCAAAACGTTCATCAGATGGCCATCTGATGAACAAGCGGCAGGCATCGTTACTGTCCGATGTTGCCAGTTTACCCGTGGTTCGTACCTTCTGAGCCGCGGCATTCCAAGGATGACATCAAATTTGTCATCCAAATCCAATACGATGAAGTCATCGTCATATTGGGTATCTTCTAGCGTATAGTGAATCTTCACTATACGCTTCATGACGGTTACGGATGCGCCTGTCGCAAGACGTACCGTCATCCTCGTAAAAGGTGTGTCACATTCACTGAATTTAAAGTGACCATCTTCTAGCGATTGGCGTCGCACAAAATTGTTGGACGCCCCACAATCGACTAGAGCTCGAAGGGACAACTTATTCGTCACTTCGAGTTTCAAGGTAATGAGTGAGATCTCATTACCTAGAGCAGCAACGCACAACGTCTGTGTGTTGGGAGCAACCTTCATCAAGAGGCCTACAAATTCTCTTGACGTTGCTGGATCAGTAGGGTGCTCCGCACCTACTGATCCTGTCCGTTTTTTGACGGTCCATCCCGTTGTTGCGTCTTTGCACCAACTGCGGACCCTCGTCCCTGCCCCTTTCTCATGGGTGGACGGTCACTACGCCCAGTGTCGCGAGACACTGGACGAGGGGCACTACACTCGTAAGCGTAGTGTCCTGTCTTTTGACATCTGTTGCATCTCTGCAACTTCTTGTAGCCCGTAGAGCGAACCTTCTCGCTCTCTACATAACATAGTTCCATCGGCTCTGGACCTCCGTTGTCATATCGTCTCGGTTGACGATATGATGTCGAGCTGGCGCGAGCCTGTCTCAGACTGAAGTCTTCCTGCTCCGCAATGGAAATGGCTTGTTCTAGTGAATCTAGTTCAAGCCGGAACAGGTGAGTCTTGACGGGACCATCCGCAAGACCCTGCATGAACACCGAAACCAACGTGTGTTCATCCACCGGATTGGAACTTATACAACTCGTGAGATGTCGTATATGTTGAGCGTAAGCGTGCACACCACGCTTACCCTGCTTGAGCTTCAAGAGTTCGGTTCGAGCCCTGAACTCAGCTCTAGGCGGTTCAAACGTTTGTCTGAGCCGCGACTTGAAGACTTCCAACGACCCAAACGCATATGGGTCGTGCAGCTTGAGCCCCAGTGCCCAAGTCTTGGCACGTCCTGCCAGATTTGATTGGGCAAATACAACTTGCATATCCCCGTCGTCGATGCGACGCGCCCTTATGGCGTCATCCAATTCGACGAACCATCTCAAGAGGGAGTCTTCTTCGACCCCCCTATACTTTGAGATGTCAATCTTCAAAGTCTCGGGTCGACGCGAGTGCATTGACCCGCCAGCAGCAGCCTGCTGCTGTCTCAACAGTTCAAACTGTTGAGCACCTTGTTCTCTCAACAACTCTGCTTGTTGAGAACCTTGTTGGTGAAGCAAGGCTACTTTGTCGCGTTCAGCGTCAAGTTCATTTTGAATGAACTTGGCGATAGTAGCATGTTGGGCATCTCTATTGAGAGCCTCTAGCATGACGCTAACAGCATGGATGCCCATGGTCGAACCCATTCGTTCAACCGCATCCCATTTGACATCGCTCAAATGGGAGTAGCCGTCACGCGTAGCGTGAAAGCTTTGGTCATCTTCATCATCCAACATATTCATGTTGGATGTGAACGCGGTCCTTGGACGGACTACGAAGTGCTACCAGGTGTAACGGGGCACCCTGAAGCTTGTACTGGTGACAGTACAAGCTACTTATTCTGATAACAGAATAAGGCGGTGCCTCGTAACTTCACGTACACTCGCACGTGCAGAGGAAGACGGTAAGAAGAAGCGAGTACTTGGTTAGAGTAAAAAGTAGAACTGTATTTATAATAGTTAATGTCTGCAATAATCACTATTTATCTTCATCTAAGTATGTCTAAATACAAATGTGTAAATCAGTTATCTGCTCACCACTCATTGCGTGCGTCTGTCGTGGCGCGTCTTCGTTGGTTGATATAATGGCCTATATCAACCAATTAGGAACTACTTGTAAGTGCTACAGAATATTTGTCCTTATGACAATATTCTGAGAATATAACTCTGATAGTTATATTCTTAAAAATATCAGAGTTATATTCTCAGAATCTTATAAATTGTTATGTAAAGATTCACCCCGTTACATTAACAACTCACTTCCTGATATTTTGTGATTGTAGATACTGGAGCCACCTCCTTCTTAATGCACAAGAATTAATACATGCGGCGTGTAAGCAACACAGTCGTAGAGAACTACATTAGAACAAAGTTTGATCATAAATACAGATTGATCGATGGTCAAATTTGCAGTCGATGGACGGAGTGGGTAATTAAACAATAAGTACACATGCAAACAGACACGGTGGGTGCCTAGTTAAAGTACGTGAGCAAATGAACCGTTCTATCGAGATCTAAGAATGTTGTGCTGGGAATAAATGATACGCATCTGTAGACATTTTCACGGATAGACTGATTTTTATGTAGATATACACTCGATATCATAAGCAGCAGCTTAATAACTCTAAAGTGACACAGTCTTGTTTAGTGATGTGAGTAACATGGTTATTAACTGATGATTTTCAAAACAACTTTGCAACTTGCAAGTTGCTTCGTGCATCTTCAAATGACTCAGTAAAGTGGAATGGGAATCGACAAACTCAAGGAAGGCACATTATAAGTTCAACTATAACTGCAAGTTGCTTCGTGCATCTTCAAATGACTGAGTAAAGTGGAATGGGAATCGACAAACTCAACATAAGCACATTATAAGTTCATCTATAACTGCTCAATGGAAGATTGCATCCCACGTTCGTCTTGAAACGTCGTCAAGTAAGTGTGAGGTGTTGCCGCGGCGTGTCATGTGATTGACCATAGTAAACTGGAGACCGATAAATTCTTGCGGCGAGACGCTATTCACGGCGCAGCGTTGCGGGTCGTGATTGAAGAAATCGTCGTAGAGCGGCGATGGGAAGCTGTTCATGTCGTTTTATATGTTGGCAATAGTGGACATGTGGCGCAGCTCATCTAAGCCGTCGGCTTCTTGCTGGTAGATCATCTTTTGAAAGAGAGAGAGAGAGAGAGATGACATGACTGTCGATTGATTTTCATGCGCTACAAGTCGAAAATCTTTTAAGCCAGGAATACGTCGCTGGACGTGGTGGCGCTACGCTCTCATGTAAAAAGCCAAAGCAAGACATGTAACTGAGCCCCTCGGACCACCGTTTCTACGCCTCCATGTTCTCGCATAGCAAAGACGCGCAATTGCCGTAAACCGCTAGTCCAACAGCATACGACACTGGCAGACTTGTGGACTGCGCGCTTCGAAAATAGCATCATTATGCTCACACCCTAAGTGCGTCGTGCAGATAGATCTCATCAAAACATTGTCGTCGCCAAACATGTTCGCCCGCCGCGACATCATCTCGAACTCTCTCGAGCATCGGAGACTGCTGAAGCGCCGGGATGTCCAGAGTCCAGCACACTTGCCGAAGCACCTTGAAAAGACATGGAGAGTGGCGAAAGCGGCAGTCCAAAGTATGAGAAACTTGCTCCAGCACGCACGCGACCTCGGGCAATCCTAAAAAATCTGTAGCGAAGACGATTAGGCTCCCCGATAAACGCCTGTAATGCACGGTAGCTGTCGTCCGTTCGACGCATCGCATGATAGAAATTGAGTTGCTTGGTGGCTATGCTATATGACGTCCAACTTGAAACGCGCAGAGCATATTGTCATGCTTCCAAACCTGGGAAGAAAGCTGATAGGCCGCCGCCCGTAGTTACGTATCCGTGCAATGATTGCATCCAATCACCCCAGCAGGGATATCAATGGGAAGGCGAGCAGGCGTTTGTGTAGCTAAAACGCCCGTCGATCAATTTCCTGACGTTTGGAACCATTATGAACCGATTGTATTCGTTTGCTTGCGCAAACATCGTGATAAGAGACTTCACCACTCGATGCTCTTACTGCCTGACTTGATCGAAGATGTCATCAATTTTCTGTTCTCTTGCGTGCGGATCAGTACACATCCCATCTTCTGGAATGGCTAACTGAGACAGCTGTGGTACCAACGCCTGAGAGGCACCCGCAGTTCCGAACGACTTCAATAGTCATTTGCTCTCCTCTTAACACACGAAGAATCAAGCCCGTAACGTCGGCGGTCGAACCACATTCTGCAAGAAATGTGGCGACGTCATTTTCTTCATACATCACCGCCCTTCTCGATCCACTAGTTGACTACGTTTCGTTGTACACAAGACGTCCCCATACCCTGTCCTCGCCACCATTGTCGTGCTTTCGCGTGATAGGAAGTTGCACGAGGAGCGGTGCCAATGCGAATGTACGCTCGATGCAACTCCACATCCAATAAGTCATGCAACCCGTTTGTTGGTTCAGACTTTGTTTAGTGCAATTTGACACTACGAACCAATGTGAATGTTATCGGCTAACAACGAGCACGTAAAACATCAGCTTGAGTACCACCAGCAAAGAGAAAGGTGCTCAAACATAGTCATCCGGCTGTATGCTGCTGTATTCGTTCATGTGGTAGACGCCCTTGATGCCAGTCATGCGATCTTCCTCCATTATTACTGCGTCCCATGTCAGTGAAGTCGTCTTTTGGTGGCTCTGCATGATAAGGGGTCAACGTCGATGCTAAAGCTTCACAACTTCTTGTGCGCACAACGATCAGCAATCAAAGAGTTATCGATGTATAGCCAACCCGATGACATTAGTAATCTGACGACTAGACCTTCTTGAGACCTTCCATTGAATAGTAGTGGGAATATGCACATTGGCTGCAGCAGCTTCGTTGCATCTTGTACACAGAACGCGCGAGCCAGAAGAAGTGAACTCGAATTTGATCATACACGCTTGTAAATGGTTTGACCAAACGTTGTCAGCTAGTTGATACGAAACGAATGAGAGGAAAGGAGCGGTTGCGCACAGATTCGCTCTATCATTGCCGACTTGGTGTTCAGTAATGTCATTCCTTCACAGCGCAACCGGCTCACACTCGTCGGTCCTTACGGCTTCACGATACCCAGTCGGCACACTCACCGTCGACGTCAAACTCGTCGGTCCTTACGGCTCACGATACCCAGTCGGCGCACTCACCGTCGACGTCAAACTCGTTCGTGTGCACGGAATCGCAAAACTCAATGGCGACGAGCTGTTTCGTCTGGACGTAATCCTCTCGCGCGAGTACTGCGCGTAAAATGCACGGCGGGCACTGTCCGACTCGTTGCTTGAAGAGTAGTGCCACACGTTCGACAAGAAGAACAAAACGTCCCCTTCTTCAACAGCAACGGGCGCACTCGCTTGGCGATGCAAGGCTGCATCCGTGTCTTCATTCGTTTCCAACGACGCGTCTAATGACACGAACTGCAGCGCCCCATTCACACTGGTTACATTGTCGAGAGCACACCACGCCGACACGTACTCACCGATCGACTCTCGGTGCACACACATAGCAAGTTGCTCGTCGCCGTCACGATGCCAACGAAACTCGACGTGACTTCTCGGTGGTTTGACGACATAGTGCTCATTGAAAAAAAAGACGGGGCTCTCTGTCTCGGACTCATTACGGCCTGCCATCATCTGCGCTGCAATCGTCGGCAGCTTCTCAAACAGCAACGAAGCCAATACCCGCTCCTTTTCCATGTCGAACCGATTCGTTGCTCTAGCACGGCATTCCAAGTAGCACTTAGAGTCGACGCGCGCCTTATCGGATTCCCGGATCTGTTGACACAGGTCTACGATGAGTGGCATTTTTCTACCAAACTTTGCATGACTATCTGTCTGTGTAAATTAAAAAAGTGTTGCTATCCACGCACCGGACTGTGTGCCAGGACATCCACGACGCAGCCCTGGGCGATTAGAGTCTCAGCGGACTGACTCGAGTACAAAGCACTACATTCCGTCTGCAGAACGCGCACCTCGGAGGACGACAGAAGGTTTCGGACGCAAACCCAGCCACGAGTTGCAAAATCGTTCAGTTGACAAGCGGATGGACGTGCGGACGACCGCGTAGTGTGCTTGTCGACCATGGCAGCAGCAACAGTAGACATGACTGCTTGCTGTATGATTACTGCGCTACTATCTGATGTGCCAGTTGTCAGAATGTCAATCGTTACAGCTCCAAGGGGTTTGACACCGTGATGCGGGTGCTCCCTGATGCTGATCGTAAAACTCGCCTTGTTTCTGTTATTCGTGACATTTGTCACTCGACCACCATCAGGTATGAGACTGGAGTGTCATTGATCTCGTTGTTGGGAAGTGGAAGAAAGCACGAGGTGCACGACTCTGTGGTGACTAACACAGCTCGCCAACGATCCAGACTCGGACTGCGCCTTTTTAGTCTCTTGCAACTACATCAGGAGGATTTGAACCCACGACATCCGTCCCGATGGATTGCGATGAGTGCGCACTGAGTCATTCTTCCTTGTACAAACGGGACTTGGCCTGTCGACGTGGTCTTGCGAACGTGAGCAGAGTGACTCCACGCGAGCCTTTGTATTCCAGAACGCAACAGGGATCGTGTCCTTGGATCAAGATCGCAAAAAAAATGTAGGAGCCATTCAGGTTACGCAGTCAGTCTTCCGGCAGTCGTAAGGCTTCCTCGATAGACTGAATCCTCGGAGCTGGCAACTCAGCTTGAGCTCACGTGTCCTGAACGTTCGTAGAATACGCCACACATGGTAGGCCTCCCGAGAAAATCAGGCAAGTGCAGTCACTCCGCTGTATTTAATCAGCCGGGCAACGGGATTAATCGGTTGAGTCGGACATTCGAAATTAACAGCTCATCCCATTGAAAAATTCGGGCTCTTCCCGGTTTGAAGGTCAGCAATTCCTTGTCTACATCAACACAGACAGACGACAGCGTCCGGAGTCGTTTTCTGCAATGGGACCAGGATCCTACCATCCAATATAAGCTTCGCCTGACCTGATCGGGGCGTAATACACTCGGGATCTCTCCACCGACGTAAACAACAGAATGGTCAACGACGTCAGAAGTGTCTTAGAGTTGTACGCTAGGAGCTCTCCCATTGCGGTCAATGGGAGCTGCTAGTAATCCACGACTTCCAAATGAGAGCTCGTTATTGCGCATACGTGGTTGCAACCACGGTCTCTGCATCTCTTCCAGACAGTTTCTTTCCCAATGGCCCGTCTTCAGCTACTTACTTGGCGCCACCTTGTGCGCGCCCGATTCAGGACAGGGCTGTCGTTGTGGCCACCCTCGTCTCAAATGACCAGGACCATCTCCCGTCTCAGAGAAGGGCTGCCGCCCCTACATCATCCATCCGTCTCGACGCTGCAATGCCCAGCGCTCTCCTTAAAAATTCATTCTTGCAGCCTCGCGGTCGTCCGACGACACATTTCGACCACACTCGAGTCATTTCGCATCAAGCAGTCTCCAGTGCACGTGTAAAAGCCTCGAAGCCTCAATGATGATGCACACTAGCACGCCACCCTACTACAGTCCGCCCGACTCGTCGCACAACGAGACGATCTCCGTGTCGATTGGACTTGGCGCCGACCGCTCCACGTCCATCCTGCTGCCACGTAGTCACAATGTCGTCAAGCACCTGGAGCAGCTCCTTCCAGCGATTGCTGCTGCACCTCCGTCGCAACAGCAAAACCACCACTTGCAGCCGTTCCCATTCGCCTGTCAGTCCGACATGGAGAAAGCCGTCGCTGTTGAACGACTTGACAATGGACACAGTCGCTTGTCCCTACCGATCCACCAGTCGCCGCAACTTCAGACGTACCAGGCCCCTCGTATATCGAGCTTGTCCCAGTACATTCACGCCAACTCGCGCTACGAAACAACTTCGACAAAGCAAGTGCCAACCAAACTTTCAACGACTGTACTAACCAACCGTTCGGTGGTCTCCGTCTTTGACAACAACTCCACGAACGACGATGGACTTGACTATGACCACACCCAAGAATACCTCGCACCCGCGCCGCCACGGCGACGGAGTGCCTGCAACAAACGTTGCCGGGTTCTAAGCTGCAATAAGATCCCAGTGAGCCGTGGCTTGTGCCGCGGCCACGGCGGTGGTCGGCGCTGCCAGCACGTGGATTGTGCTAAGGGTGCCCAGAGCCGCAGCAACTTTTGCTGGGCCCATGGCGGCGGGCATCGCTGCCATGTAAAAGGTTGTATGCGTAGCCGCAAGTCCAGGCACTACTGTGTCGCCCATCTCGACCGGGAGAGCCCAGCGGCGATTTCTACTGCTCCAGCTTACCTCGGCCACGGGACTTACAAAGCTCAACGGGTGCTCCCTACCGTGTCTAAAGTCGTGCCTCCAGCGCATTTCGCTGCTCAGACCAAGTACCCGCAACTCCCTAGTCTAGTACAGGCGCTGCGCAAAACGCGACAGTCGGTTGCGACTCGACAAAGGTATGTGACAGAAGGATGATATGATGAAAGAGGACAAGTAGCATTGGCGAGGGCAATAGGATAAGTGCTTGGTAATAGGATGTGCATGCTTGCTGACAGAAAGTCGCTACTTGGCGTTTTGTGCACTACCTGGCCTGATCTGCACGGGACACTGCTGTTCATAGACAATGGTTTGATAGGCACGCAGGTGTAGTAGAGTCGGAGGAGACCTTGTGGATTGTCTGAATCGTGACCATTTTATACACTCAACACGAGTAGCAATGAGCTGCAGAACAAAGGTTTGTTTCAGGGCGAGAGTCGAACAGAGAGGTTCGTCTGTACTCGGAGTTGGAATGTGTAATTGAGTTGATCAGCAGAACACATGACAAGGTTCACTCGCTTGGATAGCAGGGCAAGTACTTGCGCTCTGCTTTCCTGTTTATAGCAGCCTTTTCTCCATTGCCTTCGTAGGCTTTGGTTTCTTTGGTCGCGAGGGCGTCAACATCGGTCTTTGTTGAATCAGCACGATCACGTCAAGGGTACGTTAGACCTTTTGGTTCCTTAGCATGTTCTTTTGGTAAATGCGCGAGTCAGAATGTAGTCGTTTGATCTTGGAGTGAGACTGAGGATGCGTGACGAAGAACTGCTATTCCTCAACACGTAGAGTGTGCCTGATCCAAGTTTCGTGCCCACGTAAGGACAAAGCAAACGCGACGGAAGTAACAGCCACGCTACCGTGCATACCTGTATACGTTGCTGTAAATGTCAACTTCCAATGCACTACATCCTTCCGGCCAGACGATATCATAGTCAATGTACCGCCCACACGGACACCTATCCTGACCCGAACACAAGTTCTAGCGCTGCCCTGATTAGGTCCACCACCATTCTACCTGACACCATCCTCTCTTCAGCAAACGCATACTATACTCCTTGAGGAACTGAGTAGGTATGCTGATCAAACTGCAAGGTAAAGTAGACACCAACGAAGTGCAGTGCTTTTTATCTCGATCACCTGCACTTTGGACGGTCGATTACTGTACAGTCCACGTGATCATTCCATTCTAGCACGACAAATCGATTGCTACCAATATACAGCTCTAAATTTATCCGTCTTCGCCCGAGTTGTAACAAACCTTGCACACACGTACGACGTCGTAGTATCCGAAATCTGGGAGACTCATGCGATGACTTGTGCATCGACCACAGAAGACGTACCCGCAGCAGCGGCAATGGTGTCGATTGCGTAAGATTGTCTTGAATTTCTTCTTGCAACGCTTGCAACACGTAGCATCTTCGTCGCGCTCCCACACAGGCTGAGAATTCAAAAAGTTTCCACCAGAAATCACTTTGTCGGTTCCCAATAATGGCGAACTTCCAGGTGCAAAATCGCGATGGTCCAAGTCCACCGAGCTCGAGTCACCCAAGTCACCACTAACTCCTGCAGAGACAGATGTTGAAACCGAGCGTGGCGAAGAGGAAGAGGATGGCGGTGACGAAGTCCTTGGAGAATGATACGACTTGCTCACTCCATTCGAACCGCCAAGTCGAACCTTCGTCCCACTGCTGGGAGAAAACGTATCTTTCTCGGTGCGCAGCGCCGTCTCTGGAAGATTGTAATTGTAGCAGCGGAAACGTCGCAATGTCTGTTTCGCTGCGTTCTCTTTGATCGCCACCTGGTGATCAAGCTTAGACAGCTGGGACTCGAGGTGACGAAGGTCACGTTTGAGTTCCTCTCGGCGGGACGGCGAGTTCGAACACTGGTTACGGCGACCTTCACTTACACGGATTGGATTGGGCACGGTCGCAGAACCAACGTCCTCTGTTTCGTCCACTTCTTTGTCCTGAGAGCCTCCCTTCATCTGTGCGACCACATTGATGAGGGTACTCTTCAGGCTGTTACTTCGTGAACGGCTCGTAAGGGACCTGCGTCGTCGAGTAGTTGGTAGATTGGTTGACTGCAGTGGCGCCCCCGCCACATTAGACGATAGAGGACCAGGAGAAGCATCAAGGTTCCCACAGTGTAACATCTGCATCATTGTCGTGTGCTCTCCAGCTGGAGACGAAGCCGATGTCGCTGCCCGCGCTGAAGCTCCTGCCGTACCCATAGCTACTATACTGGCTAGATCGTGGAAATCGAGAGACCCTGAGATTGGAAGCTCGCCAAAGCTACGATGCGTATCTCCACCGAAACTAGACATGAGTCCTTTCCTTCCAGGCTCTTTTAACGGCGTCACTGGGGCATCAGGATACTTCAAATTCATACTTCGTGATAGCTTCGCGATATCAGACCGAATCTGTCCTGCTCGAAGCTCAAGGTGCTGGTCGTTAGTCAGCGCCGCATATAGTCGTGACAGGTCTGCTTCTTGCTGCCGAATCAGCTGCAGCATCTCAAATTCTCGCTGCTGTAAGCGCATATGACCAATCGCCTTCTGATATTGGCTGACCCAAAGTTGCATGACACGGACTCGACATACAGGCAACATCGGCTCCATATATGATCCACTACCTTTGGACGCGTGTACGCCCCTGCCTGCAAATAGCGGGTTCAGAAATTGATCCGTGGTGGCACGAATCACATCCCACACACTGACGCTCGCGACACTTGACAAGAAAAGGCGCCGCTCGCATTCAGAATTCTTCTGAAAGGTGCCATACCATGACGAGTAAACGGCTTCAGCAACGGACGAGAGAAGTAGCTCATTAAACTGGAAATGCGTTGGAAACTGCAGTGTAAGCTGATACACAGCATCAATAAATTGCAAGAAAATCGGCGACGTCTGATCGGAAGTAGGATGTGAGCAGCGGCGCTGGAAGTTATGGCCAAAAGAACACCAATCTTTTTCACAAAGTTGTGCGAAGCCTTCAAGTGTCCTGTAATATGGATCCAACATTATCTGGGCAAGGGAAGAGAGCTGTGCCGTGCGATCCCACCCATCGCTACAGTGTACCAGAACAGCCTCACCACGCTCAAGATGCGTCGCCACCTCGGTCGCGCCCTGAAGAATACTGCAAATGTGCTCCAACCAACGGCTCTTTTGCACAGCACCGAAAAAGTTAGAGTCCTCCACCTCGTACAGAGCCTGTGCTAGACCAGCGAGTGAGTTGCGCACTACGTGAATGTTATCAATTCCCATAAAAGTAATCGCGGCCATAGGTATTCCATCCCGATCGTACTGCTTCACTGACTCATGGCCTTTTCCAGCAAGTGCATTGCTCTTCGCGTTGATTTCCGGCCGGGCGTCAACAATGTGGAGGACACTATTCTTCTTCTTCGGAAGCGTGTGCCTGGATTTTGCAGCTTGGTCTACCGGGATTGCCGCATCCCGGATGGCCCAAATTAGCTTCTTATCCTCTGGATTCGTGCTACGTAAGACGCCAGTGTTGGGCTGGCTGCTGCGACACAATGGAGCACCTGTGCGAGGATGTATCCAACTGAGAGCTGGAAAACGGCTTTTGCTTCGAAAACCGGCCGCTTCCTTTATAATCTCATCGTTTAAGGACTCTGGTACCATAAGAAACGATGGGTACGTGGAGCATAATTGGTAATTTTCGTTGAGAGTACATTTGCGCCAGCGCGGATGATTCAATGCGCCCTGTCGAGCAAACTCAGCTTCCGGGTCGTATCGAATACGTCTCCTGGCCGCAAGCTGGAAATGCTGCGGGGGTTTTCTCATCGATGTTGCGTGCGTTAGCTGGGGAACGACAGCCGACTCGCTCTGGTGGTGTTTAAACTTCGGGCGCTCCATTGACGTACAGCTGCCAGTGAGCGCTGAACTGCTCATAGCCTCTTTAGTAAACGTCCGCTTCTGGTACTTGTTAAAATTTGCTGTAAGCGCTCGTGTCATTGGTGGCGGCATTGATGAGCTACTGTGTTTGGGTGTGTAATGGAGCAAGTCATCCTCGAGTTGCATCTCGTCCGCCGTCGCTACAACGTGATTGCGGTCCGTTGGGGAGCAGAAGCTGTTTTCAATACGCAGCCAGTCAATTTCACGCACAATATTGTGCAGCGTTTTGACGCGCTTAAGCTCTGCCTCACGCGAGAAGTCGCGCACTGAGTTCCGTAGCCGCGAAATTGGCGACAGCGTCACGTGATAATGTCCAGCATCCATGTTATCCAGAATAAGAACCGTGATAACATTGTTGTTGCTGCGTTTCTGCTGTTGAATCGTCGCCTTCAGAATCTTGCTCACTGGCAGCGTGTGGACGTCTTCATGAAGCAAGCCTCTCACTCTGCGATACGGGACGAACCAAATGCGGTAATTGGTCAACACCAACGTCGCAAGAACGCCTTGATTCGACTCATTCACATGGAACGTCACCGTCACTTCCTCCACCATATGCAGCAGCTTTTCATGCCACGGAAACAGACAATCCTTGGGTGTACCTGCATGCATCGCAGTCAGTTCATCCTGTCGCACGGCAACATCCGGATGCCAGCTCCGTGGTAAATGGCAATAAGCGTGTTCAAACCTCGGGTTCTGCGGGAGAAACACCTCCTGGATGCTCGTGCCATACGGGTGGTTCACCAAGTACTTGAGATCTCGTTCTTCGTACTGGACACTGCATAAAATGCGTCCCTGAGCTGCCAAGCCCTTGACCAATCGACACCAAATAAACACGCGATCAATGTCCATCTCGTCCTTCTCCCCTCCCAGCTCTCCACCTGCTGCAGCCGACGTACAACTTTCTTGAGTCTCATCGTGGCAATAGTAACTCCCACTCGAGTTGAACGACCGGGACCGTCCGTGCCAAAAGTCCGTCACCCCCCGAGCAGCAGTGTCCATCTTCGGGACGTCACTGTCACTTGCCGTGTGCGTCATCTTGCCGCTCGCGAGCTCTCCTGCAGTCATGGTCCCTTTGCCCGCCACCGTGTCCTTCCCATCGAGAGGACAAGCGACGAGCGCCTCGCGCTTGCGGTGCTGGTACGTGGCCACGAGCTCGCGCCACGGGGGGAACGGCACGCGGAGCGCGCCCAAGAGGTCGCTCGGCGTGAACTCGTCCTTGTCCGCCACTTCAATCTCCACGTCCAGAGGTCCGGCGTGCACGAGCGTGACGGCCACGTCAAAGTCCCAGCGCGGATTGAGCGACCGCTTGACGCTGGGCGACGCCGCGAGCTCCTTGCCGTCGTAGAACACGCGCACGAACGGGTCGCTCTTGCCGTTCAAGTCCGTGGACGACAGCGCCTCGGCGCGGATGACCTGGAGACGCATGGGCGGGCGGGAGGCCGTCGCGTCGTCGTGAGGTGGTCGTGGGTCGTGGACGTGGTCGTCGGTTGGATTGCGTTTGGATAATGACGACGACGACGACGACGACCTGAACCGACGCGAGGGATTGAGTCGGTTTGGTGGGGATCTGGGTGTGGAATATTCGCTGACAGGGGGTGGTGGTGCAGGAGGATGAGGTTTGGGAAAAAGTGTGGGAGGGTTTTATGACTAACTGGAATTAGGTAGTTATAGGTTTGCTCGGTTGTGGTGGTGATCTGTAGATGTGATTCGAGGTTGAGCGTGGTTTGTAGCTGACGGATAATCGAGGTGAAGCTGGAAGTGGACCTGGTCGGTGGTCTAGTTTACTAGCGAGATAGCTCCTGGGCTAAAAAGGAGTGCGCGGTGCGTATGGACATTCTCAATCAGCGACATATCAGGGATGTTTCTTTGCGACGTGACGACGGATACGAAGCGAGCGATGGCTGACGCGAATTGCGACGTGTGGTGGAGAATCCTCTGAAGTCGCACAGGTGTCCAGCGGTGTCGAAAAAAAGAGGCACTTCGTGGCTCATTTAAAGATCGTGCCACGGGCTAATAGGCGAGATGCAAGGAGCGACTTGTTCGTTACGTACGACCTGCCGCCGCCAGCTGGTAAGAACAGCAGCTTCGATCGTCTCGCGTAGCTCTTCATGTTTGACTCGTCGTGGCATTGTAAACTACGCTGCCCATCCCCGACCTCTCCATGGAGTCCTTCAAGTAGGTTGTACCCACCACACCAGTGGACGTCCTCGTGGCCATCTCCACGGGAATCTCGCAATTGATCTCGTGTCCAGCTCCACGGCAATGTCAAGTCAGCTAGCTATTAGCTGGTGAGTCACAGCTTTCGATATCAGAACAAGTTGCGAACATTCCTCATACTGCTCAGACACTACAGAGCTCTTGACCACCCAGTCACCCCATCCACCAGCACCTTGTGGGCAACTTGATTCGACTGCTACAGCCACCACCCACACGGTCTAGCGCCAATGTTATCGCCGCTTTATTGACTTCAGTCACTCATTTACAAACGCATCCGCATCCTTCCGCCATGGAATGCGCGATTTCTCCCTCTTTACGAGCAGCGTGCGCAGCTTGGCATTCATGTCCACGAAAATGGTCATTGCACCACGAGACCGTGCGTGAGTCGCGCTCGATTGCGCACCTCGCTGCATAGAGGCCTTTGCGTTATTCGTATAGGTCCCGTGCAATCACCAGGATCTGCGGCTCGCGGCTTCACGACCCATCTTGTCTTAGCGAACCAGCACGAACGGTATCAAAAAAACAGGAAGACACGACGGAAAGTCAAGATCCAAGCAGCTGTAGTGCATTGGTGAACACGTGCTTGCAGTTGTCGGTATTGAAGACAGGTCTTTCAACCAGAATCAGGTCTCAACGGGATTGATGCCGAGCAGATCGGTCTCCTCGACCAGTGTAGCGTGTCGCGTGGGAGATCAGCATTTTCAAGTTACTTCAACAACCTTTCAGCAAACGTGTTCGATGTCGTTCGTGGTCTACGACGCAGCAAGAAGTTTTGACTTCATCTACATACAATCGATAGACGTGACAGTATCTCATCCAGGCTCCTACGTCACGTCGCGCTGAATGAATTGAACGGATTCGGTCGCTACTAGTTTACGGACAAGTGACGCCTTATCACCTCAAAACGCGAGCAGCAAGCACCCGTACCCTACGACGAAGTCTCCTCTTTGTCTTGACCATCGTCGATTCTGGAGTCAAGTTGAAAACAGAGCCTTTATACTAGTTAGTCGTCACCGTCATGCGCTAAGGTCCCAAGCAAAGCTGGCAAAGCGTCGAAGGCAGTGCGAGAATCGCGTGCACAAACACAACAGCCGTCTAACAACTTCATCCCGTTGTTATTTTGTGCACTTGCGTGCAACCTCGGGCGACTGAAGATGCACGGACTTGATACACGTTGGTCCATCGATTCGGTGGCAAGTCATATGCGGTACAAGTGCCAGGCTGGGAAAATTGCAGGTGCGAGCACCAGCACCACATTAAGCAAAGCAGCTACACCTTGGTGCACAATCTGACGTCGGTTGAAGCACGTAACCAAAGATCGAAAAGCAGTCAGTGATGTATTTTTCGTACATCAGGTCGACATGAACTGCGGATCGTCCTCGTATGCCACAGTGTCCCCAGTGGCTGGTCGCGACATTTTTTATGCCATCAACGTACAACCGTCGTGGTGGAACAAGTTCAGCTGCTAGACTTTCACGCTATCTGACGTTCAAGCCAAGTCAGTTGTCGTACCTTCACGGCCCCTATCGAAACTCGAAGATGCCGAAGGAAAGAGCCGATAAGACGGCACTGATGAAGCACAAGCAAGCCGAAGCAGGCCAAGCCAGCCAACTGCCAGTTCTTTGGTGCAATAGAATTGATTGCACCTCACACAGTCGATGTCAGCGTGGTTGAGCGAGTACATTTGCAACAGCAGGCCGCAAACGGAGAGCTGCTGCTTTCCATTCGCTCATACAACTGGAGTTTGCATTGAGACAGACCTTTCATCGACTTCAGCTTCTTTGTTTAATCATTTGCAAGCTCTTGATCCACTGCTTGACAAGTCCGGCATCCCATATTCTCGCCAGCAGCCTCTATTCTGCAGTGAAGACAGGTTCCGCTCTGAAAAACACATCGAACACCAATCTAGGTAGAGCAACATATACCGCGACTGCTGCTAAAGTCAAGGCATTAGAACGGGACAACACCTTGATGTAGCACGAAGGGTGCGTCGCACAAAACATTAACCGGTCGAGTCTTCTTTGAGAAAAAGTATCAAGACGAGAAAAAAACTCGTACATTTGTTGGCCAAAGGAGAAGCATTAGTTGCTCGTCTAGTACACGTAAATCGCTTCACCTGAAATCCAATCGATTACTTTCCATCGCACGCCAAGCGATAGAAGAGCAAAATGGAGCTGTAGCGTGAGCAAAATCAACCGCAGCTTGGTACCTATGCGTCACCGAATACGAGCCGTTGCTTCAGCCGCAAGCTACAACGCTAATGCTGCAGCTCTGGGAATCCGTAAAGGCGAGCTCGGTCCATCTGCGCGGATGAAGACAACTTTGACGCAACACATGCCTCGGATACAGCAGCCAAGTCCTCTACCAAGGCAATTGCAATCATTATGCAGAGTGGTAGCGTGTTGCAGATCAAAGGTAACAAAACCGACCAACCGCTCGACGCTTCCTAGCGGCATTCAAATCATTCGTGGTAGGCCAGCTGCTGACGAACGACACGGACCTCACTTCGACACTGCAAGCGTGGATTGAGCCTCGACACCATTGACCACACCGTCAACGTGAGGTCTATGTCGTCACGAGAGTTCACTCTCGCCCGTCACATGCGCACAATTGAGCACATAGTGGCCACTTTACTTGGTGCTCAGCAAATCGACATCACAAGTAATGCTCAAGTCGTTTTCAGTCCACCTGTGTTTCCTATAACACTTTGAAGATTCATACAGGTTGACACACGAGCTTCTTATGGACCATGATCGTGTACGGGAGGACTGTTGCTTCCGCACAATGAGTCACGCAGCACTTCGAGCTTGTTTCGAACAAAGCCCAACAGCTCCGGGTTGTGCTCCACAAGCTGCTGAAATCGCTTGTACGTAATTCCAGTGCCATCCTTTGCTTGAATGAGTGCAGCTTCATGCAACGACGCATTGACACTGGCATCAGAAATGCCGTAGAAACTGCGTTGGAAGCGCAACATTTGCCGAACTTCAGCTGCGTCAATGAGACCATTGTTATCGAGATCATAGAGTCGGAACGTAAATTTGGCCAGCGCGTCGTTCTCTTCATCGACACTATGCGGATTGACTGCACGCAAGGCAAGACAGAGCTCCCGAAAGTCAATTAGGCCGCTGTCATCAGCGTCAACGAGATCAAAGAGCTGGTCAACAATCACTGGATCATCTTTCGGGAACAGAGCCCGCAGTTCCTTCATTGACAACTGGCCATCTTTGTCCAAGTTACGCTGTCGAATGTAGTCAACAAGCCGCTCGACGTTGCCACACTTTAGTGCCGAGAGCGACGTGACATCCCCGACATCTGCCAGTGGTGCAATGTGCTTACTATCATAGTCACCAAGACGCATCAACATCGCCATATCCTCAAACGCATGGTTTGTCGTGGATATGCCCAATGCTTTGGCCATCACTTCTCGAACATTGTTCGCATACAGCTGCGGATCAACCTGTTCCCGTTCCGACGGGTAATATGCCGGTAAGATCTCCACTTCCATGCGATTGTACACTTGACAGAGCACGCGCATAGCCAAATAGAGTCCTGAAATTCCAGGTGGCCAGCTCACATCAAAGTGTTGAAACGGGTATCGAAACGCTACTGGTTGGCACGGCAGACCCGAGACAAAGGAGCCAAGTTTGAACTTAGTCAACGCTTCTTGATTTGACGTCGTGCCTTGAGGGAAGACAAGCAGCGGCGGTTTCGTCGGATCCGTCACGTGTGATGTAATGTCTTGCATCGCCTGCTTTCGACCTTCGGATGTGCCTCGGTCAATGAGAATGGGCTTTGTCAGCTGCACCACGCGACTGAGGAGTGGTAACTTAGCGACATCGGCTTTCATCGCGATACTTGGCGATAACAGTGTGAAGAGGTAGATCCCGTCAAAGAACGTCAAGTGGTTGCTCACGATCACGCGTGGCATCCGCTGACGATCAAAGTGCGGCGGGTACTTGACAGGGATCCAGTAGAACCCTACAATAAAGAGAATCAACCGAAGCAAGTAAGGCACAGGAGACCCAAGCAACCGTCGCCAATGTGGTAACGGTGATGAATACCGAGCGACTGGGTCTGTTCCTAAACTTGCAGGTGCTAAGCGTTTGTAGCCACAAAGTGCGACGTTGCTGACCAGAGCGAGCAAAAAAGCTGCACAAAGGAGCAACAGGATGCGGAGCAAAGGCACGCCCAATAGACACAAGAGCGTCATTTTGACCGCTTCGTACGTGTCAATTGGCGTCGTATAAGCGAAAGGATTGGGCTTTGAAGAGACGCTTGTCGACGACGTCGATGCAGCGACGTAAGCGCCAGCTGCTTCAGCTGTGACTTCGGAAGTCGAAGCGACGGTGATGGGGATCAGAGCGTCCATGTCAATTGCATGGGAGAGGGGCGAGTCTTGGGACTGAAGGGCCACGTAGTCAGGGTGACGCGACGAAGACGACGCGCGGAGGAGAGCGGTGGAGCTCATTGGGGTTGACGCTGGAAGAGTCGGACGTTGTCAATGGGTACAAACGAAAGTGAAGTGAGAGCGGGTTCCGACTCGACCAAAGTCTCCGATAGAAACGACGATGATGATGATGGCAGTGATAGCGCAACGGACACCAGGTGGTCACTGACTCGCTATTACGATTAGCGAGAGGTAAGTTTAGATTGGTGTGTGGATAGTGAGTGCAGATTAAAGAGCTGGGAGATGTGGTATAACTGCAAGAAGCGATAGTTTAAAAGATATCGACTTAGGCAATGGAGGGGTGGGGAACCTAGTCGCGAGATGTCACATGCTTCAGTTGAGCCGTCGTCGTCACTCAAGGATAGTAAGCACTCGTTTACTATGACGCTAGCTGCATCACTATCAGAGCCAACAGCTGGGCGGTTACGATACGGTACTCTATCGAAGCAGAAGAAGCTGCTGGCTTCAGTGTAGAGACCGCGACCTTCTTGGTCTTGCTGATGCATTGGCTGAAAACTGTAATGCCTGACGCGCAAGAGTAGAAGCATCGATTATCGAGAGGGAGCAGATGAACTTATAGGCTCAGTAACACACTCGCATGATCGACGTCCACTTTCTGTGCACTCATCTGTCCATAGACGAGCACGATCTGTAACTGACTTTTTACGCAATAATTGGTCCGACGTGGAACAAGGGGCGAGGCTAATCCGTACTTTGAATTTTGCTATTCCGTACCGCAGACGCGATAAGCGTTTTACCGACAACTAATCAGCTTAAACTTCAAGTGTAACCTGCAATATGCTGGATATAAGGTGCTTCCTTTACCTTGTTTTAGTCCCCTGTATGTCACCTGTGAGCTAGTTTTATGTGAACCAGATAGTCTAGCTTTAGCGACTTGCTGTGGCTGAAAGCCATAATTCACGCAAAGTCATCCAGCTTGCGCTCCAGACGTAACCTCTTGCCCTGTTTGTACTTAAGTCGTTGGTCAAAGCTGGTAAAATGCAAAGTGAATGTATCTAGGTCCTTAGTTCACAAACTTTGATGCTACTCTAAGCCTACTTCGACTATACATTCCTAATCGCTATACCGCGCATTGCTACTTGTCTAGTCGCGCATTAGTAATCACCACATCGCACATTACTGATCGTCTATTGGCGCATAAGTAATCACCACATCGCGCATTACTAATCGTCTAGTCGTATGTTTATAATTCTGGTCATGCGTTTCTGAACACCCAAACGTACCGAAAGTGGGGGACGTCACTGTCTGGCAGGACAGTGCTGGTGAACCCCAAACACCAGATCCCGAAGGCTTAACTTTTTTGTTTGCACGCCCCACTGTTATCGAACCAGTGACCTTGGGATGGTACTGCCATACCAAACCGGCTGAGCTACAGAACACTTTCTGAAACGCCATGCTGAGGCGTATCTTTTACAACATGTACATTCCAAAGCGCAACGGTAGTTCGTGGCCTGTTGGGCATAGGACGTTTACTGCTGTCGAGTTGAGCTGAAGTATCGCACATCCTTCATGTGCCCTGATAGAGCCAGTGAGGGATCGCTTGGAGCGGCGGATGCGTCTGTTTTAGTTCACACAAGAATCCAAAGCTGTATAGTGGAGTCAGCAGACCTGGTCACAAGAACGCTGTCTTTTGTTCTTTAAGCACTAACACAGCATCGTGCTGTGCCTTTACAGTAGGACCAAGCGTTTACACCAGTATGGGTTCACCTGCACCAACAATGGGAGCTGCACGATGATTCGCGTTTACTCAATTGCATGTGATGCTCGCGTGCAGAACGTGGCGCACGTATCATCAAAGTAAAATCACGTCGTTGCGTAGTGCTTTCTTGCCTTGCACGTACAACTATTGGCTTTGCATCCGCGTGCAAAGAGAGAAACGAGTGCGCGGTCGATGTGGTGTTCCAGACTGTATTGTGTGGTTTTGATTCTCAACAAATATACTCTTAATCTCACTACACACTGCGTACAGATGCCCTTCACTATCGTAAGAGTTCTGCAAGCTGCAAGCTGCACGCTGTCTCCGCTGTCTCTCTTCCGCACAGCTTCTCCACCCTTCCCGTCAGGTGCCGTGCCTCGTCTTCCAGCGAGGCGATCTCTTCGTCCATCGCCTGGCCCAGAGGTGCGCGTCTGGAAGTGCGCGCGACGCCTTGTACGTATTCGGGTAGGGCAATTTGTGTAATGCTCCTCCCAGCCCCTAATACGGACATCAAAACCGATCAAAACAGCGTCGCTGCGGCAACTGACTAGCGCGGTCCGCGTCGCGCTGGACCTTTTGCATCGTCGTCTGCTTTCTGCTTTGCCGATTTCGTTCTCACACGTCCAGACCTGCGCGGAAGCCTTTTTCTATCGTCATCATCTGCATCTGATAATTTTTCCACTACGTCTATGGGTCCGAGGCCTTTGCTTGTCTGTTCGCAATAGACTTCGACTTTGGATCCTTGTCGCGTTCCGCGCGCGTTTGTTTCTGCGTCGGAGCCTTCGTTGTCGGTTTCGACGCGTCGTTCGTGCGGCAACTCGTTCGCCTGAGTGCTCGCCGTTCGACTCCTCCCATCGTCTAATTTCTTCCCGTTCATCTGCTTGTTGCTCGAGCTCGTCGTTGTTGTAAAAGAAGCGGCTCGGCATGCAAACGGCAACCACAAGAATGTACGTGCAGACAATTAGAAATGCGCGACGTAGCGATTAGTAATGCGCGACATAGCGATTACTAATACGCGACTACACGATTAGTAATGCGTGACATAGCGATTACTGATACGCGACTACACGATTAGTAATGCGCGATACAGCGATTACGATTGTGTTGTTGAAAGAATCCAGTAGGCTTAGACTAGCAAAAGAGATTGCGAACTAAGGACCTAAATATGTTTACTTTGCATTTTGCTTTCTACACCCCAAGTGCTTTTTCAACAGATTATGAGCCCAAGCTCTGCTGACTCTGCCCCCGACGCCGACTTTGCCTTTAACATGGACGCTGCTACCGCCACCAACGCTCGCATCAACAAGTTTGATGGTACGAACTTCCACACTTGGAAGTTCAAAATGCAGATGGTGGTGGAGGAGCGGGACCTTTGGGAAGTGACAAGCGGGGATATCAAGCTGGAACACCCTGCCACTACGCTGGATCAGTCAACGTTCAAGCGCAACTCACGGAAGGCGCTCGCGATAATCTGTCTTGGGATGGAGGACTCGCAGCTGCCCCTGACCCGGTCGGCAAGTGGAGCGCACGATGCATGGTCGCGGCTGGAAGGCCACTTTGAGAAGAAGAGCTTAGCCAACAAGCTCTTTCTTCGTCGCCGTTTCTTCACGGCCAAGTTGGAGGAAGGCGACGATGTGCTTTCGCACATTAACAAGATAAAGACACTGGCGGAACAACTCGACGCGGTGGGTGCTCCGGTCAGCGAAGACGACCTGGTGATCACGCTTCTTGGAAGCTTAAGTGAGTCTTTTGCATTTCTCATTGCTGCTTTGGAGTCAAGGGCCGACTTGCTGTCGTGGGGACTGGTGACATCCAGGCTGCTACATGAAGACATGAAGCGCAAGGAGCAAGGCAGTGAAGGGGTCGCTGCAGGTCAAGCGTTCATGACAGGTGAGAAGAAGCGTAGTGGACGGCTATTCAACAAGACTGGCGCGTGCAACTACTGCGGTAAGATGGGTCATTGGATCGCGGAATGTATTTCGCGGATCCATGACAACGCGGACCGACAGTGTCGCAGCGTGCGAATGTGGCGCACAATCAAGATGAAAACTCGAACGATTTCCTGTTTGCAGCTGGATTGGAGAGCAACGACGACGACAGCGTCAAAAAAACCAGCATGGATCATCGACTCTGGTGCGACGCAGCACATGTCATTCTCAAAGCGGTTTATGACAGACTACAAGACCATCGATTTTAACGTTCATCTCGCAGACGACGCGGTCATGCAGGCGTTTGGGACCGGCAACGTGGTGATGATGATGAAGACACCAAGTGGTGCCAAGAAGGGTGTGCTTACGAATGTGTGGCACATTCCAAAGCTTTCACGCAATCTGTTTTCAGTCGGCCGGTTCACCAAGGATGTTGCGACACTGAAATTTGATTAGGGCACCTGTTATGTAAATTTTAAGAACCAGAAGTGGAAGATCGGCGAGCGTGCCGGCAAAGGTCTCTTTAAACTATGCATGACACCGGTGCAAGTCGAGAGCGCAAGCATCGCAAGTGAATCCAATAAGCCTCAGATGAGCAAGTCATACTTGTGGCATCTGCGTCTTGGTCACATTGGCCATCGTGGACTCGACGCGATCGTGAAGCAGAATCTCGGTGTCGGCATCGACATTACATCTGTGGGCAAGTGGGAGCTTTGCAACGGATGCGCGCTCGGAAAGCAGACGCGAGTGAGTTTTCAGTCAACTACACGTAAACCAGCCAAGGACCTGCTTGACGTCGTGCATTCCGATGTATGTGGACCAATGCAGACTTCGACATTTTCCAACAAGCGCTAATTTGTGACGTTCATCGAGGACAAGTCGCGGTTTTGTACTGTGTACCTAATTCACAGCAAGTCTGAAGTGTTAGACAAATTCATGCAGTTCACCAAGTTTGCTGAGACTCAGACCGGTCGTCGCATCAAGATGCTCCGCAGCGATAACGGTGGAGAATATGTGTTTAACAAGTTCGCCGCGTTCTGTCGCAACAAAGGCATCATACAGACATTTACGCCGCCGTACACCCCACAACTTTACGGAGTGGCGGAGAGAATGAACAGAACTCTAGTCGAGAGTGCTGGATGCATGATTGAGCATGCGGGACTAAGCAAGCGCTACTGGGGCGAAGCAGTGTCAACGGCAGCGTTCCTACGCAATCGATGTCCAACGCAAGCAACTGGCCATGAAAAGTCCCGCACGAGGTATACACGAAGACGAAGCCGTTGTTGAAAAACCTGAAAGTCTTTGGATGTCACGCATATGTGCATGTGCCGAAAGATGCGCGATCGACGTTGTGTCGCCTCTTAAGCTACTCAGACCACGAAAAGGCGTACCGGTTTTAAGAGATACCAAGCAGTCGCATTATAGTGAGTCGCGACGCCCAATTCATGGAATACATGTTCGACAGCGGGAAGTACATGCAACAAAGTGGCATCGACCCTATCGAGTATCATAACACTGATGAAGGCTTCAACGACCGTGACAACGAAGTTGCCAATGAAGACATGGGTGCGCATATGCCTGAATCAGCATCGATCCATGAGCGGCCACAATGGCAACAAATACGGCGTTCAAGTCATCAACCGCAGTATATGCAGCAGCAGACAGACTAGTTTCTACCGGGCTCGAAAAGTCATGTACGCACACAGTCACTAGAAGCTTTGTCAGAGCCACCAGTGGAATGACGCTATGGACGCGGGGCTAGTACAAGTGGTGTGCACACATCGTCAATGCAAGGTACTGCGTCACCACTCGAAGCCATGTCGGCGCTTCTCGCGTCTATTGATGAAGAAGAAGAAGAAGAACATGAAGAAGACTGTGCTAACGTCGTGGAATCAGTGGGAGAAGTGCCGATGACATTCCCATCGGCTATGGAATCCAGCGACGCAAGAAAGTGGCGAGAAGCGTGCGAATCAGAGTTTCAGTCATTGTGCAAGAACAACACGTGGGAACTCGTGCCGTTACCAAGTGATCGCAAGGCGATCAGCAGCAAGTGGGTGTTCAAGGTGAAGGAGACTGTTGATGGACTTATCGAGCGATACAAAGCGCGCCTCGTGGCAAAAGGATTTTTGCAAAAGTACGGTGTGGACTTCGAGGAGACGTTCGCACCTGTGGCCAATTTCGCGTCGATCCAGATCATTGTGAGCCTCGCCGCGCAGCACAACCTCGTACTTCACCAGATGGACGTCAAAACGGCGTTTCCTAACGGCACGCTTGAAGAAGAGATCTACATGAAGCAGCCTGACGGATTCGTTGATGCCAATCATCCTCACCATGTGTGCAAGCTCAAGTGTGCGTTGTACGGACTCAAGCAATCCCCTCGTATGTGGAACCAGACTATTGATGAGTTCATACGCAATATTGGCTTCATCAAGTGCGATATGGATCAATGTGTCTACGCCAAGCGTGACGACAAGGTCATGATGTTTGTTTTCATATACGTCGACGACCTCATTCTTGCGTGCAACAACATGGACATCCTCGCAGCCATTAAACGTGCATTGAGCGAGCGATTCGAGATGTACGATCTCGGTGAGCTTAAATACTGCCTCGGAATAGAAGTCGAGCGCGATGACAAGTCAGGCGATGTATCGATGAAACAGACTAAGTTCTTGCGATCGATTCTGACCAATTTCGGTATGCAAGACTCTTGGCCTGTTAAGACACCGCAAGATCCCGGACTGAAGTTGACTAAGCGCATGTGCAAAGATGGATGCAAGCACAACTACACCATGCAAGGAGTGCCATACCGAAGTGCCGTCGGAGCCTTGATGTACCTCATGGTAGGCACGCGTCCAGACCTCGCAGCTTCAGTGGGAGTGCTCAGCCAGTTTGCTGCTGACCCGTTTCCGACACAGTGGCAAGCTTTCAAGCGCGTGCTACGGTACCTGCAAGCGACTCCTACACTTATTATTCGTTTTTTTGGCGCTGGCAATGGCAAGTTGCTTGGCTACTCCGATGCCGACTGGGCTGGAGATATCGATACTAGACGAAGTACCAGCGGCTACGTATTTGTGCTTAACAACGGCTGCATCAGCTGGCGTAGCAAGAAACAGCGCAGCGTGGCACTCTCGTCTACCGAAGCAGAGTACATGGCACTGTCGGAGGCGACCCAAGAAGCGACTTGGCTCAAGACGTTCATGCGTGAGCTCGGCGAAGAAGCAGGCGATGACGCTCTAACTATCTATGAAGACAATCAAGGTGCTATTGCGCTTTCCAAGAACCCAGAGTTCCACAAACGCACCAAGCACATCGACATTTGCTACCACTTCGTGCGAGAAAAGGTCGAAAAGAATCAAGTTGTGCTACAGTAGTGTCCGACGCAAGATATGCTCGCTGACATCATGATTAAGGCAATCGCAGCGCCACAGTTTACCATCATCCGTACTTAACTCGGCATTACTGTCGGTGTCGCTACCGAGTCGAGTAGGAGTGTTGTAAAAGAAGCGACTCGGCATGCAAACGGCAACCACAAGAATGTACGTGCAGACAATTAGAAATGCGCGACGTAGCGATTAGTAATGCGCGACATAGCGATTAATAATGCGCGACATAGCGATTACTAATACGCGACTACACGATTAGTAATGCGCGACATAGCGATTACTGATACGCGACTACACGATTAGTAATGCGCGATACAGCGATTACGATTGTGTTGTTGAAAGAATCCAGTAGGCTTAGACTAGCAAAAGAGATTGCGAACTAAGGACCTAAATATGTTTACTTTTCATTTTGCTTTCTAAAACCCAAGTGCTTTTTCAACAGTCGTTAGCTTCTGACTCGAGCGCCTGCCTCAGCTGCTTGTTGGCGTCAGCTGTCAGGGTCTCGATTTGGTACACGTGTCGAGTAGTCACCACGAACTACTTCCCGGGAATCAGTATGCCTTGCACCCCTTAGTTTCTTCGTTTTTTCGACAATGATCCCTGGTGCTCCACGCTTTCCCAGGGATGCGTTTAGAGGGTTCTGGTACACTTTGCAAGGCGAGCTGAACACCACCACGTCCACGACGCTTACTGGCTTCTTCGTGAGCAGCTCCAGAGGCGATTTGCGGCCTGGATTGGCGCGAGTCGGCATCCTGTTCAACACGTACACCGCGTATTCCGCGGCGCATCTTCAGTAGCTAAGCGGAAGGCCACAATTGAAGAGCATGCACCGAACCATATTCGTGACGGTCCGGTGCATTCTCTCGGCCTTTCCGTTCGATTTCGACGTGTTGCACTCAGTGGTTTGCCCGCCGATGCCCGTCTGCAGACAGAAGAGGTCGAGGTTGCGGTACTCGGCTCCTACATCCGTCCGCAACGTGTGATCTCACACGTTAAATTGTCTTTCAAAAGACCTTAATGTGCTGGAACTTTCGTGCGACTTCGTCCTTGGACTTTGCGACGAATACACGCACGTAGTTGGATTTGTGGTCGATAAAATTATTCAAGTGTCCGTTTTTCCGCTTGTCCATGGGCGTTATGGGGCCTTTCAGGTCACTGCAAATGACCCCACCAACCACGTCAAGCGTCGCGTTTAGACCGCTATCCTTCTTGGGCTGTGCCGAATTGGACTGTGCCGACTTGGACTGTGCCGACTTGGACTGTGCCGACTTGGACTGTTTGCCCTCGGATCATTTCAAGCAATTCTTCCTCACTTTGTCGGTGAGCTCGAGTCCGTTCGCCGGATTCGCGACGAGTCGCTCAATGTCTTCGTAATACAGGTGGCCAAAGCGCCTGTGGAAGCTCATCAAGCTCCCTGTCTGCGCTGTTGCTTCTCGGGGCTGCGACTCGACGATCGCGTGCATGATCACGTCCTTCAGCCCGCTTGCTCGTTGCTCCACGTGCCCACGGTCGACGACACGAACATTCTGTTTGATCTGGACGTACATCACAACGTCGTCTTCGATCATCACTGCGTGTCTGTTGTTCTTGTCGACGAGGCGGCAGCCCTGAAGCATGAGTGTGCCGAGGAAGATGAGGTTAGTGGCCAGCTTCGGCGCGTAATTGACGCTTCGCAGCTCGATCCAGTACGTCTCGTCGTCCACCTACACGCGCATTCGCGATTTGCCGAGTTGCGTCACCCGCAACGTACTTTTGTCAGGCAGCGTTACGCCATCGGGGTCGTCGCACTCCTCCCGATCGTACAGTATGCTGCTGTGTTTGACGAGGTGGACGCTGGCGCGGAGTCGACAATCCAGTCCTCCTCCGTTAGGCAACCTGCTACGAGTCCAGCAAGCGCCCATCGAGGCGTCTCTTCGTCGTCCTCGTTCTTTGGACGACCGGGACACATACACGCTATGTGCCCGACTGTGCTACAGATGTTGCACACCCTGGTGTCCGTGCGTGCGGTGGCGGTCGCTGCTGCTACTGCAGCTTTAGCTGGCCGAGGCGCCCATTTCTCATTGTCCTCATAATTTTGCGCCCGCTGTGTGATTTCTAACGCGTTAATCACAAAGACGGTGCGCTTTCGGTCGTACTGGCTTGCGAGGACAGGTCGAAGCTCTGAGCTGGCATGCATAACGAGGCTTTCCGGTACCAATGACGCCGACGCACCCGTGGCGTTTCTCACCGCCATGAGGTAGAGATAGTGTGCATGCAGGTGTCGCTGCTACTTTTGCGCCTGTTAAAGAGTTCGGACACTTGTGCGCTAGTGAAACTGCACGAGAAGTCCGATTTCATCTCCCCCATCGCTTAGGAAAGCGTTCTGTCCGTGTCCCACCACCCGTCCCTGAGTCCATGGAAGAACTCTTCAGCTTCTCCTCGGAGACACGCACCAAGCCTGCTGATTTTATACTTCTCTGTCCACGCGTAGCCGCACGCCTCTTGAGCCATTTCGAGCTCTTCCCTAAACGCGCGGCCCCAGTGCTTGAAGCCGCCACTCAAGCATTTGTGGAGCTCCTTGCCGGTGAACACGCGAATGTCGAGCTTCGCATCCTTCGTCAATGGCCCACGAGTAGATCCGCTGACGAGCGCTCCTCCAGTCGGCGCAAATACGCCTGGCTGCTGCAGAGTCGCTTAAGCGGCTGCGCGGTTCATCCCATCACGTGCCACTGCTTCGCGTTCAATTAATTTGCGTGCCGCAGTCTCGCGTGCTTCGGCTTCGTGCGTCGCTCTCACATAACCTCGTTCTTCCGCCATACGCACGCGACGCTCGACGTCTGCAGCGTTGTACTGCGCATGCTGCCACGCGCGACCCGCATTTTATTGATCCAGGTTGAAACGTCTGGATTCTTTTCCAAGTCTCTCCTCGCGCGTCTTCTGCTCCTCTTCCACGCGCCGCGCTTGCTCCGGTAGCGCCATTCACGCGCGCGATGCGCTTCTCCTGCCGCTCTCACCTGATCGGCAAGCTCGATATCTCGCTCGCGTTGCCGGTTCTTCTCGTGTAACTCATCTTGATTGTACCGAAAGAGACTCTATTCTCTCTCTTGAGCTGCGCGGGTCTGCTGGTCGTGTTGTATTGCAAGCGATTCTCGCTCCGATTGCAGACGTGCTTGAAATTGAGCGACTTCGCGCCCTTGAACTTCCAGCTGCGCCGCTAGCACTTCTCTTTGTTGCCTCTGGAGCTCTGCTTCGCTCAGCAGGTGTCATTCGACCTGCTGTAGTTGTCCGTGTGCAGCTTGGATAGCAGCTCGCTGCTCCGCTTGCTGTGTCTCTTGTGCTTCTGCCACTGCTCGCAGCTGCATGTCTTGGGCTTCTGCGGCGACCCGCAGTCCTTCGCGCACGGCCGCATGTTGTTAAAAGTGCTGCTGTTGCTGCTCTTTTCGCAGCTCTCTTCTTTCCGTCCTGACGCTAGCGTTGCGTACTCTGGACTCAGTCCCAAAGACGTCGTGGAGGTCGTCAACCTCCATGGGTCTCACATGCGTCATTCGCATGGACGGGGATCTGAACGTTTCTGCTACTCTCGTCGTTTGTACCAGAGATCTTTTCTCAGTCTTGCCTGGCCCAGACGTTGTTCCTTTCGGTACCGGCAGCGTCAGTCGTTCTCTCTCTAGTTCCCGAGTCGTGCTACCATCGCATCTTGTTGTTCCATGACAAGCGCGAGCTCGGGTCGCATATCTTCTCCACTGTTGTCGCTCGATCCAGCCGGAGTTGTCTGCGCGACCTCTTGCGTATTGCGGCGCCTCGCCATCAATGCCGCCGCTGCGCGTTGGACGGCGCTCGCGTACTCGACGCCCCTACTTGGGCTCATAACCTTTTGGCTTTGCATCCGCGTGCAAAGGGAGAAACGAGTGCGCGTTCGATGTGGTTTTCCAGACCGTATTGTGTGGTTTAGATTCTCACAAAATCTACTCTTGATCTCGCTACACACTGCGTACAGATGCCCTTCACTATCTCAGGAGTTCTGCAAGCTGCACGCTGTATCTGCTGTCTCTCTCCCACACAGCTTCTCCACTGTCTCTCTCCCGCACAGCTTATCCACTGTCTCTCTCCCGCACAGCTTCTCCACTCTTCCCGTCAGGTGTTGTGCCTCGTCCTCCCACAACAACAGCTTGTGCCCATACTTGGCACCCGGTTGTCGCGCTTTGTCCGACAGCTTGACCAAGTCTACGGTTGTCGTTGGATCTTCTCTCATCGTAAGCAGGTCGCGCGTCGTAGAAGCAACAGCTGTGGGGTGAGATTCGTCTGAAGTTATCCTTGAAGCTTTGAATGCATCTGTCGTGGTAACACGTCAAGTCGCAGGTGTGGTGTCTGAACTACCATATGCAACGGTCGACTCCGTTGCTGCAGCAGTAGCGCACCAAGTAATGCCGCTGCTCCGTTGTGTTTCGTCGAATAGGGGCCGTCTCAGTCTTGTGCTTCGGCTTGTTCCACTTCTCCTGTTCGACCCCCAGTCTGTCTTGGCATCAGACACAAACTTTGATGGTGCAATCGACGACGCCAACGCCTGTCCGCTAACCACTGCTTGCAGTTTCCACACTTGTTGTGTGCACTCCCCAACCATTCGTCTTCGTCGTCGGACGCCTAAACTCCATTTCCCTCGTATCCTCGGCGCCCTTTACAGTTATTGTCACAGCCTCCAGCTTAGGCTCAGCACTGGATCCACTTAGAGGAAGCTCTTCACACTCTGCACCTCTGAACTTCTATATCTAGCATATTACAGATGAAACTAAACCTCCAATATTAATGATAACGTTTGAAGCGTTTGCAGTACGGAATAGCAAATTCAAAGTACAAATGAGCCTCGCCCAGGAACAAGGTCGTTCATTTTGAAACAGTATCGCGCATACTGCGCATGTCGCTCCTTTCTGTCCCGACGCAGCATGCTACTAGACCACAATGTCGTAACATTTCTGGTCGCATAGTCTACCATACATTACACTATAATCGCCATCCGTAGTTTCGCATCTTCACAAATATCGTGCAACCAAAACCCCAGCAAGATCCTTCGTCTCTCATTCGCACAAAATGTGACCAATCCGCGTCGCTTCCGCAGTGTACCCACCCCGTCGTAGCTCCTCGCCATTGAGGATCCGATCCAATCCGTCCATTCCCTACAGTCGCGTCCACTGACCATGGCTGCATTCAAAATGACCATCTGCTGCATGGGCGCCGGCTACGTGGGCGGTCCCACCATGGCCGTCATCGCGGCTGCTTGTCCCGACATCAAAGTGGTGGTCGTCGACGTGTCCGAGACGCAGATCGCCAAGTGGAACGCCCCCAATGGGCTCCCCATCTACGAGCCTGGACTGAAAGAGCTGGTCAACGCTCGACGCCACAAGAACCTCTTCTTCTCCACGGATATCGACACGTACATTAACGAGGCCGCGATCATCTTTGTGTGTGTGAACACACCAACCAAGACCAGCGGCATTGGAGCAGGACGGGCGGCCGATACCAAGAACTGCGAAGCCTGTGCTCGGAAGATCGCTGAAGTGGCAACAGCAGACAAAATCGTTGTGGAAAAGTCCACTGTGCCTGTTCGCACGTCGGAGAGCATCAAGGCTGTATTGCAGGCCAATTCCAAGGGACTCCACTTTGAAGTGCTGTCAAATCCCGAGTTCTTGGCGGAAGGCACGGCCATTCGGGACTTGCAACAGCCAAGTCGCATTTTAATTGGTGGTGCCGAGACGACGGCCGGCCATGCAGCAGTGGAGAAGCTCGTGAGTGTCTACGCCCATTGGGTCCCGCGGGACCGCATCATCACGACCAATGTCTGGTCTTCGGAGCTCTCGAAGCTCGTTGCGAATGCCTTTTTAGCACAACGGATCTCGAGCATTAACTCAATCTCAGCAGTGTGTGAAGCCACGGGAGCCAATGTGCATGAAGTGGCACGAGCCGTGGGCGCGGACGACCGTATTGGCGCCAAGTTTCTGAACTGCTCGGTGGGTTTTGGAGGCTCGTGTTTCCAGAAGGACATTCTGAATCTGGTCTACCTGGCAGAGAGCTTTCACTTGCCTGAGGTGGCTGAGTACTGGTGTCATGTCGTGGCCATGAACGAATACCAGAAGACGCGCTTTGCTACGACAATGATCCGCCGCATGTTCAACACGGTGACGAACAAGAAGATCTGTGTCTTTGGATTCGCGTTCAAGAAAGACACTGGGGATGTGCGCGAGACGCCCGCTGCGACAATTGTCAAGTATCTACTAGAGGAGAGGGCCAATGTAACCGTGTATGACCCGCAGGTCAAGATCGAGGACATGATGCACGAGCTCGAGTATCAGGGTGTGGACAAAGCCAGCCATCCTCTGATTGACAAGCTCCTCACTGTGGTCAACGACCCGTATGAAGCTGCGAAAGACTCGCATGCTGTTGCTGCACTCACAGAGTGGGACGAGTTCAAGACGCTGGATTATGCCAGGATCTACGAAAGCATGACGAAGCCCGCCTTCTTTTTCGATGGCCGCAATATCCTGCCCCGCGACAAGCTTGCCACTTTAGGAGCCAAAGTGTACGTCATTGGCCGCGCAGACGTGATCTCGGACGAGCTGCACTTCTAGTATGCAGCGTACGCTCGATCCACACACGCGTGGATCTTCTGGCCGTGCTCTTCTTAACGTAGTGCCAATTCCAATTGAGAGCGCCTGCAAAATGTCACACGATCGTGTCCGACGTAGCCCCGCAATCCATCTGCACCAAAAAGTGTATACATGAGACACGAAGTATCCATCGGACAAAGCCGGGACGAGTGACGTCCCCAACCTCGACTTCTGCCACCGACCGTCTGTACACTAGATCGTGTCGCACAGTAACCCTCATGGGCCGATCGTGTTCGGAGCTCCTCGCAGGCGGCGGCCTCTTGATCCTGAATGGCGTGGACTTGATCGCAGGAATCGCTCTCTGGATCTACAGTCTCGACCTCATCTCGACTTGCAGCACACCCATGTATCTCTATGGTATGTCCCGTTTATCCCCTTCTCTCTCTCTCACCTTGTCTCATGTGGCACTTTTTTTTCTGAGTTTTTTTTACGGTCTCATTTAACGTGTTCAGTACCACTGCTTGCAATCGGCACCGTCCTCGTCGTTGCGTCGATCATGAGCAGCTGTGGCTTAGTGTATCAAGAGTGCTCTGTCTGTGTAGCGCTGTCGTCCAGTGTACTTGGGTGGATCTCGCTGGCTGAATTGGGGCTTGCCGTCGTCATTTTGACGCAAGGAGGAAGTATCGATGAGTTCTTACGCACTCACAGCAGTGAACTCCAGCTCAGGTCGGAGTCTTCTTGATCGATAGTGCAGCGACGTGGATTATGATTTACTTCTCACCCTGTTGTCATTGCTGTGGGTGCGCGTGTATTCCGTGTCCAGTGGGGACGCATTGGCGCAATTCGAGCGTCACAAGTTCTACCCGGCGTACGTTTTGGTCGCATTAGCATTGATGGAAGCTCTTCGTCAGCGCTACAGCACGACATTGCATCGTGCACGGCTTCGTCGACAGCATCAGTACGAGATGCTGGCTTGAGCTACCTAGCTACGCTTTCCATTGCTTCATTGAGAGTTGGGAAAGGCTTCGTGTTATCATGACTGAAGCTCGAGACGCTTAAGAAATTGCTGTGAATTGTTGTCGACTCCTCTCGCTGTGTTTGTTGTTGGAAGTTGCGAGGATATCGAAAATCTTGGTCGTTGATGTGGCAGCTACTCTGCCCTCCAATGCTTAGCCTTGATCTTCTCTTGTCGCCGAGGCCAAGCAACATGAGGCACTTGATCTTGATCCATTTATTTTCAAGATTCACACAATTCGCTCACTCTCGAGCATTTCACGATGATATGATCGGCAAGTCCATTGTCAAAGCTCATCTTTGCCATCCGAGGTCAACCGTAAATATGTCAACTCGTCGCAGTGGTATACGTACGACATACATAGCTTCCGCTTGCTGACTTTGTCGCACATATCTTTTCCTGATGAATGTTAACTCACTTGCTGTCCATCAGTCGTTTCAGACTAAACCGACAAGCTCAACAAAAGCTACTGACAATGCCACAAGCGTACTAATGCACCTCTCGACAAGCAGCTGACAACCTTTGCTCTTGAAGTTCTTTACACTGATGCAGGTAAGCACGAGACAGTCTTCTTGTCGAAGTCGTTGTGCAGCAAGACTGCAAGACCTGATCGTATTATTTGCACGGGATAGCAACGCTAGGCTTCGATGCACTGACTTCTTGCTGACGCACCCAACAAGATGGCCGCAATGTTTGTAGGGAGCAATGTTCGCACGAAAATGAGCTGCTTCACTTCCTTGTCGACGAAGCGAATCGGTCAGACCGAATAAGCTCACAACACTATCCCCCCATGCCTAAGCACTGCTCAGTATTCTACCCAAAGACTTGCTTCAAGCGACTCGTGTAGCAGGCAAATCTACCTCTTCGGTACATCGTTGTGGTAGATTAGCGAATCTGCTACTTCCAGCGGACGCGGGTCTAACGACTTCGTCATTTGGAATATAAAGTATCGGCACAAGTCAGGGGAATCTACGTGCCGTGAGCAGTGGTGCTCGTGAGTCTTTGTGTTGCGAGATCGATCATCAAAAAGCCATCGACAAGCCAAGATATCAATCAGCACACCAAGCGTATTCCCCTTGACGCGATTTACCTGACGCTCAAGCAGTCGGTGACAAGTTAACGACCAAAAGAAAGCAGACATCGCACTTGGTGCTTTATCAGGCTCAGGATCAACAATTGTCTGGCCTTGCGATGCCTTCTCGATCCCAATATGTTGCAAGAAACAACTCGATCAGTGTCGATAGACTTTAGTGTGCACCAATACGGGAACAGTGAGTGAGTGAGTGAGTGACCACCCACAATGTGCGAGTGTGCGATCACGAGGTCCGCCCTTTTGTATCATCAGCTGGCTCGTCTTTACTATCGTTCATGCAAAGTTGATCATTCAATCATCACCGGTCAAGTGTTCTACTTGAAGCTGAACCTCACACGTCACATAGATGCATCCACATTTGTCGTAATCTTCTTGCAACCAGAAGTACTACTTTACATTTCGGTATTTTACCATACATTCCATCCATCCCAATCTATTACTTTACATTTCGGTATTTTACCATACATTCCGTCCATCCCAATGTACTATTTTATCTTTACTTATTGTAACAATGTAATGTGTACATTCAGTACTTTTCGTCACATTTTGTTCATGACCCAACAAGACCCCACTACCACCTCGGCGCCTGAAGCTGTGGCTCTGCCCGCGTGGCTGCGGTTCCTAACGCCATACTACGTATGTAATGGTGTGACTCTTCTGATGTATGTACCCATCCGGTACCAGCGATCGGGTGACGCGCTCTCGGAGCGAGACAATTTTTTCCAAATACCATTGGTGCGTTCTTATCTCAGTACTTTTTTTTCGTAATCTTTCATGACACTTGTTATTTTTTCTCTCTGTATAGGAATACGAGATTTTTCTGCTTGCACTGGGCTCGTGGCTGCTGAATTTCCGCAAAAAAGCGACAGCAGATGGTGTCCTGTCGCTCTTTTTCCTCTATGGCAAACTCGCGGTCTTGGCTTCCCTCTACTATCTCGATATCACGCTTTTTGCGTGGTACGCGGTGATCTGCCTCGGTACGTATTGTGAAATTTGTGGGCAAAACAGTGTAAATTTGCTGATACCTTTCATATGTGATAATACCGCGTGACTTTATGCTTGTTTAGTACTGTTTGCAGCAGTGGGGCAGCCCAGGTACCAGGGTCCATCCAAGATATCGGAGCTAGACCCAGCAATGATGGAGAAAGTGGTGAAAAGATCATCAGGTGCAAGAAAGAAAGGCCCGCCAAATTCGTGGCTCGTCTTTTTTTACGCAGACTGGAGTGACTCGTGTGTAGAGCACGAGCCCATGCTCGCTGACCTGTCACTGAGGTGTGTAATAAGTTGTGTACTATATTGCAGGTGTTGCAGAGACTGTTGAACGAGTCGGATGACGACAATGTGTGTGTGTTTGCAATGCTTTGAGCAGGTACTCGTCTGATTCGCTGCAATTCGGCAAGATCGATGTGAACAAATGGTCCGATCTGGGCGTGGAAAATCGAATCAGTGTGTCGACGTCGTCCTGGCAGCTACCGACGTTGATTTTGTTTCAGAATGGCGAGGAAGTCATGCGTTTGCCGCAGATTGATGACAAAGGGAAGGTTATCAAAACGGTCCTCGATCGGGTACGAGAGCCTGAGCAGTGCTGTTTGAAGCACAACCTCCTCTTTGAACAAAGTCGGGGTCATGTACTCACGCTTGTTGTCGTGTATTACTTGCAGGCGGGACTTGTTGCTGCCTTTAAGCTTCAAGAGCTGAAGGAGGGAAAAGCAGCTACGTTTGAGGCAAAAAAGACTAGCTAAGGTGGACGTGGGGGCGTGCAGTCTACAGAAGGCAAGCACGAGTGTGCAGTTGCGTGTTTGAGGTGCCGCTTTTGTAGGCAGCTTCGAGCTGGACATATGAGGGATTCGATGTCCGTGACGACCAAATGTCACGAACATGAACAATACCGTTGAATTAATGGTCGCGAGCGAACGAATACATCAACGGACTTCAAGTTGAAGCAGGATACTCAATTACTGTAGCCATGTCCACAGAGCAGTATTTTACCAGTCACTATTCCCATTTCGTCAGGTCGCCGCTAACTGAGACTTTACGTAGATCCCTAAAAGTCATTGGAAAACGCATACAACCGTTCATACAAATAGCTACATACATTCCTCTTACGATATGTGCGGCGACGGCTTCTGCTTCGAACGCTGCTCAGGCAGCGCGCTCTTTCTTTTCAACGGCGTGGATCTCGTCTGCGGTATCGTGCTCACGGTCTATAGTCTCTTTATCGGTACGAACACCCTCTTCAATTCAAGGTCCTGCACTCGAACCAACCATTTCGGTTATGACGAGAACGAATTTGGTCATAACTAAGATGTCACGGGATGTGCACTGTAGGTCTGAACCATTACGCTCCAGAGTGGCTCTATGGACCTCTTTTGGCAGTAGGGACGTTGCTGATCGTGGTACCTTTTATGAGCTGGTGTGGGGCGTCGTCGTCCACTCGGAGCTGCGCCATCTGTCTTCCATGTTCGTCATATCTGCTGATTCTGCTATCGGTGGCGGAACTGGCACTTGGCGTGGTGATGTTCACCCAAGGATCGGCGATTGACCGATTCCTGCGTCAACATCAACAAGAGCTCCACATGACGTACGTGGAAGTGGTATCGTGAACTGTAGGGAGACGGTGAATCTATTTTTATTTTATTTTATTTTAATTTGTTTTATTTTGTTTTTTATTTATTTGATGCAGTGATGAACAGCTACATCGTCTTGAAGAGAACAAGTTCGTTCCTGCTTATGGGATGCTGGCGCTGTTCGGGATGGAAGTGATGCGGTTCTGCTGCAGTAGTGAATTGTATCGGGAACGACGGTACCGGAAATACCAGTATCGACAACTGAAGACACTGCGGGATTTGGACGATGAGCTGTTGGCAGCCAAGAACGAAGAGGTAGTGTGGGAATGAATTGTGTGTGTGCGTGATGCTTTGTGTGCTGTATTGCTTACTTTGGTGTCGGTATGAAGAACATTGCGAGCAAATATGCGTCGCTCAAGGATACGTACAAGAAAAAGTATGTCGCTCACGAAGATAAACCTGTGACAAAGGACAATGCTGCTGTTTGCGTGTAAGGAGGTGACGTCTATTGGAGCAATGTGTCGAGACTTTTGCTGCGAGACTTGGTCATTCAGCAAGTACGTAATGAAGCATCGGGTACACGAGCTGGTTAAGAGATACAGGTTGCGTTCGTCATGGTCATGACAGAACTTCGTCAGGTTCACTCCTTCAGGCCGTTTTCAAGTGCTGGCGTTTCATGCGACGATTGATGCACACATCCGGGAATTTACATGTTGTGAGTACGGAGGGATGATGTCTCCTTGTCGACCGATGTACTTTAGTCGTGTCGTCTCTTGTCGATCGATTATCCACAGAAGGGCTTTGTGGACTATATCAGCAGCTACTTTTGTTCACACCTGTGCTTCGAAGGATTAGCATTGATCCACCAAGACCACCTGCCCTTCTTTCTGCGGTTGTCGTTACATTATTCACTCGTGCATTCATTGCAAAGAGCTACTGGCGTTGGCATCATCTTTCGCATGTATTGCAACAATCTGATGTGACTTGTTGTAGGATGTTTCAACTACTTTGCATCCCTCACAGTTCCGTCCGTGTTGTTTCTCACTCTGAATCATCTCGTAGCTTTTATCATCAGCTCGTGCTTGATGAGCGTCATCGATGTCAATAGAACTGTGTCAGGTTGTTGTTACAGCACGTCTTGGCTGTAACTTGAAAGCCTTTGTTGGCTTGCAAAACAAAGTAGCGGATGTTGAGCTGCTTCCCTCGAGATTGTTTTGACGTGCAGCGTCAACGACTAGGAGCTAACACTAGATAGGAAAGACTGTCACAAGGTTGCATCACCTTCTTGGTCATCGACATGGACAATACGGACTTGGCTGATGCAACTGTTTCCAGCGTGAAGCCTCATGGCAGATCAATTTGATGTGAAAGCAGAACAGCTTGTTCCTGTGATTGCGGGTCGCTCTTGCTTTCGGATCAAGCGCAAGTGAAATTCTGATCACTACGTATCGCTATTCCGTCATCCCCCACCAACGTGATGTTGCGAACGAGTCACCAGTTTGCGACCTGCGTAGTTCAATATGAAGATTCACTCGTTCTAATCGCGTCTTTCAAATCCAGCATGGTAACATCGGAAACGGCAAACGCTTCGACCTCCACTGCTACTACAGCTTGCGACGATGGTACTCGTATACGGGCAGTAGCTGATGATTGCAACTGATGTTCATGTGCCACGTTTAAGCTCCGGTCAGACAGCGACCGCTATTTGACCGTATGGGTCGGAAACGTTACCAGCGCGTGACAAGATAGATTGTCTCGTCAAGTAAGATTCTCTGCTGAGCGAAGCGCATGCGCTGCATTGCGTCAAACCCCACCTCTTTGCTGCTGTTCAGAACAACGTCCACATTTCGGAAACTATCAATGCTCACAAAGTCATTGCGACTCGGTACGTTTGCACTGGAACAACCATGCAATCACAACTTCATTGCGTATACAACCAGTGTAGTAACTCGCAGTACTTCCCGTGACTGTCGTGCAGACGATGACATCGTAAAGCACGCCATCTCAAATCAGCGAGGCCAGAGTCACCTGCATGAAAACTCCACGAGCAAACTTCGGTCTGTATCAACCCCAGGACCCGTCTCAAGAGCGTCAGGTCAACGCTAAAACACTCTTCAACTTTCAGCGTCCAGCTCTCAGCCACCGCCCTGGACTCCCTCTCTCCGCTCTAGCCACAGCCGCGCTGTTTCTCCTTCTTGACCGTCCTCTTCTTGGCCTTGTCCTTCCTCGCCTTATCTTTAGCCAGCAGCTCCTTCTCGTACTTGACCTTCTTCTCGTGCTCCGTCTTCATCTTCTCCCTCATCGCCTGTTGTGCCTGCTGCACGCGATGTTTATTCGTGTTCCCCGGTCCCACCTCGTCGACGCTCTTGTCCTTGTCGTGAATTTTGACCACATTTCCGTCTTCGTCAAATTCCGACATGAGAGTGAAGCCATAGGCACGAATCAGATGCTCTCGAGCCGCGAGTTCTTGACGTGTCAAGTTCTTGAGACGGTCCGCCGTCTTTTGTTGCTCGCGGACCGCCGCGTCTTCAGCCTCTTGACTCTGTTGCTCACGTAGGTGAAGGTCCTTGAGCTTTTGCTCGGCTATTGCCAGCGCTTCTTGGTCTTTGCGCTGCTCTTCTTGGACCTGGACCATCTTTTTGACATCTTGCGTCATTTTTGACGCATTTAAGGTACTGGCTAGAATACTGGGAGCCACGAGACCGTCGGCAGCGCTACTGAAGACGGAGATGACCGTCTCGACACGCTCGTGTAGGTCGAAATCGTCGTCTTGGAGGAGACTGAGCGCATAATCGACGTACACGGACGCGTCCAGGTGCAGACGCACGACCTTGTCCCTCACATAGGCTTCCATGGCGTTTTTGACAACCGAGGTGTCGATAATGGAAAGAGTATCGATTGATTGGCTATAAAAAACGAGGACGAAAAACTGTTTACACCGCACGAACGAGTATTCTAGTTTTGGAATCAGCACAGAATACTCGATTCTAAATCTGGGTAGGTGGTACCCGTCAAGTGCTGCTGATACCGATTCGAAAAGGATGCGAAACGTCCAGCTCAGCTCCGGTTGCTATAATTATCATAGCAAGGCCGCCGCACTTTATAAAGTGTGTGTGATACAGTCGTTATGGCATAATAAGGTCGTGACGATCGCAAGCACTTGGTGCAAGTGCTTCGTTTGTACCATCCTGAGGTCTCCGTAGTGATCGATCCTGCAAGTCCCTTTTGTGTGTACGCTTCAACCCGTTGACTCACTGGCTTCGACTGTAGAACCTTTGTCATAGTATCGATCCCCTCTTTCGAGTCCACCTTGGCACGCTGTTCATGGTGATCACGATCCCGATGCGATACGCTGAAACCGCTGCGTAGAAGGTGGACTACGTACGAAAGGAAGGATGGATGGACACAGAAGATAGCTAACGGCACACGGCTCAACGTTCTGAGCAACGTCTTAACGCGCAAGCTCCCGCAAGGTGCGACGTCTCGATGGGTTTCGCCTTATCGCTCGCCCATCACGCCATGCAAATGGAAGCGGTAGTCAGTCCGCTACTAAATAACATCTTGACACCTACGATGTCACTCAAGATTGCGGCGTCGGCATCGTTTTCCTCATTGTCCATCACGCCCCAACGCAGTGGGTGCAGGAGATACACAACAGCCGCTTTAGACGGAACGTCGACTGCAAAACCGCTGAATCCACTCGGTCGAGTACGATCGCAGAAGGCTCTACAGGTCGCCGCTTCGCAGCTGCACGTCAACAGCCGGTCAGCCAGCCAGCATCGCCTTTCTTGCTTTCTCCCTCTCTCGAAACACAAGGATCTCGTCAACAACTCCTCGCATACACATACTAACACCAACAACAATAACAACTACCACCACAAGTGGATCTGGACATTCTCGCTTTATTCAGCAGTACATAAATGAAGTATATCGCATCATTAGGCTACTACTACTACTACAACGCCTGACTGGGTCAACACTACGACTTCTCCTTCATACAAATCTTCCTGCGGAGACATTCATAACAGCTGCTTCGAGCAGTATTCTTCTTCTTCTTCCCTTGCTCCGTGGCGGCCACGTTGCTCGCAGCTTCTCATACCACCAAACAGTGGCGCTCGAGCACTTTGCGGTACCGAAGCGCCTTCTGGGCCAGTAGCACGTTGCTCTGTGAACTGGACGAGTCCGCAGCTAGAGCCATGAGGCTATTGAGCTTGCTCTGGTACTTTTGGCACTTGGTGTCTTGGAACACGACGCCTTTGGCCGTGCAGATGAAGGTCTCGGACTTGGAGCGCTGCTCGAGCGCTGCGAACCTCCTGTCACCGAGTACAACAGACGACTGGTTGTCCACCTGCCCGTCCTGTGGCAGACTAAGAGCTGGCTCGTTCTCGATCGTCTTTGTGGCCCTAGCGAACAAGTTCCGGCAGCTGCTTTCGGACAAGGAGCGTCGGCGGGAGGGATAGGACATGGTCGCACTTAGTCGGATTGTCGGTCGCGAGCTCTTGGTGGTGGCGGGCAAATCTCCGAGTGAAGAAATGGCTGTCACGTCCGTCCGTCCGGCGTCGCAGGCGTAGCCATCTTGTCGCATAGTCAAGTCGAGCTACTCCAGCCTCCCTGCCTCTCCAGCTGAGTTACAGAAGAAAGGCGAGCTTTTCGTGAATTGTACCAGACTTTTTCCGAAAAAATGAGGGGCTACGGGCGATCTAATTTCCGTGAGGAGTGAGACAAGACACAAAGTTGTTATGGGCAGCACGTCGCAGATCGGATGCCAAGCCTGGTGGCGATCGAGCGAGAGGGGCGGAGGCATCGACTTACTTGGGTATGGGAAGCTTTTTATAGCGGCAAACAACGTCGAGGTCGCGTGGTCAATGTCCTAGTCATGAGCAGATTTTACATCGCAGTTGGTACATTACATAGCGTAAAGATAACAATCATGAGACTGAGTTGTCCACACTGTGCTCTCGTGTGCTGCCGCAACCTTTACGGAGACTATGCGGGAACAACCTGGTAGAACACGAGGCCGCAGGAAGAGTCTGCTTACCGTCGGGTCCTACGATGTCTTGATTGTGTTCCTGAGGAGAGAAAGACCACACGTGCTCTTTCTGAGGCTGGAATCTTTTCTAGCCAGCAACTGGCCAGGCGGCCGCCTTACATCCCAACGCTCGTCAGTTACAATCGGCGGCATGTTGCAAGAAGCCGAGACCGTAGGTCGACTGGAAAGATAAAAAAACGCAGAGCAGCAAATTTTAACAAAGACGCCTGCCTACTTGGGGCTGGACGTCGTCCAAGAATAGTCGGTCACGACTGTAACTTGTATGTGGATGTTGCAACTCCTGGTTGTCATAGCGCAGTCGGCTGGGGATTAAAGGCAGCACAACAGGGAGATTGCTTGCTACAGATGCCAGTCCTCATGGGTTTAGCGTAAAGCATCACATGGCATCTGTCAAAACGTGGTATCGGTGAACACCCACAGCGTCTGAATCAGTGGCATCGAACTATCACCAGCGCTTTCATGATTCAGTCGACCGATCTTCCGTCAAGCAACTAGCATTGCCACCTTCAACGCCGCACACCGTTGCCCAGCGTAGCCGACTAAGTCCGTTACACTGGTCGGTCGCACACGTTTGTAAGCCGGTACAAAGGCATGGCCGCGGTCATTGCTACCGCCCTTTGGGTAGGATCTTCGGCATTTGTGTGCGTCTGCTCATCGAGAGTCGCTGCAATGGTCTCGCCTATCACTTCATAAACAGCCAGCTACTTTACGCGTTTTCAAATAAACATGCTGTGATGTGCTAGAACAACTTGCACGTAGTCCGGTCTCCTACGAATCAGGTCGAATGCACGTCATTCGCCACAAATGGATAACAGCACTTGCTGTATCGAAGACAAGACTGTTCAAGCTGCATGCACACGACGACAGGGTTCTCTCCTCTTTTTCAAGTCTTGTCTTGTTACGAGGCGACATCATGTTCGCAACTCAGTCTGTACTTACCACGCTTCCCTTTTTCTTACAACCGAATTACCCTACGGCCGCCAGGATTCGACATGCAGACAATCAAGGTGTAGGACGCTCATCAAGAACATATCAAACTTATCAAGAGTCGATTTGCACGCCACGATGCAGCGGTTCGTCGCCAAAACGCTTGGGGCCTGTAAGTTTCAGCATCGTACCATTGGATGTAAACTCACCCACTCACTTAACCATGTGTCAAGATCTACTGCAGATGCCATTACCATCGGCTCAAGAAAGAAGGATGGTCCCCCTTTTTTAGTTTATCATGCAAGCACGGTGCACGGACTGACGCCGCGACAAAAAATACGGATGGCGTTCCCCTTGACGACAACTCTGTTCGACGCTTGATATCCACGCACGTATAATACGCTGCTATCCACTACAACAAGCCACGTCAAGAGAAAACTGAGCCGAAGAAAAGTAGAAGACGATTGTGAGCTACAAGCCCCGTCGACCACAACCAGCTTCTTTTTCACGACTATCCTTGCAGCCTTGTAAAGTCGAGTTTCCTCTTTCTCGACAGGCACGTACATCGTATCGAGCTTTCCTTCTCTGCCCGTCATTGTCGCTGCAACAAAACGTCTACGTTCTCCACGCCGCATGTCTTTTGCTCGTGCACGACGTCCTGCCTCGTCTTTCGTCTCCTCCGATGCACCGTCTCCTTCCATGTCCCAGCAACATCCTCATCTTCTTCTTCGCTCGGGCTCGTCTTTACATCAGTGGACGTAGAACATCCACAGTCAAAGCACGTACGACCGCCGCATCCTCCGACCTTGAGGACAGCGGGGACCACTCGTACCCGACGCGCCTCCTTCTCCATCCGTAATTGGTCACCTTTGCCTCGCACGTGCGGCAAGATCCTGTGTGTGTGTGTGGTCACTAGGATCGAGGACGATCGGTCATATCGCTGTCGCTTGTGCCATGCGGCACTTGGGCGGATGGTAGAACAGACGAGACAGAAGAACAAAACAAGCGTCTGCTCGGAACACACCCAGGCAGAACGACCGACCATGGCCGACGGCGACGGACGACATGTATCGTCTGTGCATTGAGTGCAAATGACTGCCCCTTTGTGAGTGGACGGCACCTTCAACACGAGACAATTAGTTGATACAAATGCAACGTCGATGAGCTTGTTTAATCTGAATGCTGGACTCTGACCGTCCGACGTGTGTGGTGCAGGGCTCAAGAGTCCGTGCCCAATAGCGAGCACACAGGATGCGCAAGTGTTTTCTCTGATGTTGCGACTTCCTGGTCTCTCGCTGTGCTTGATGACGCGCGCGCTTGATCAAGAATTCCCGTAAATCCAGTGCGCTACAAAGTCACTGGTTGCAAAAGCATTAGCGACTGCTGGAGGAGCCTGATTTGCATCGTGGCCCCAAGTCGCCTCAGGAGTGGTGGGACGGTTGTTGGATGTTTATTTTAGTGTTCGTAACGGAGCACAGATTCTTGGTAGAAGGTATCCCTGTGCTGCACCATGCGGCTTTCTATATCGGCGAAGGGTGGATTGAATACGCGTCGCTAGAGATTCGGCTTGCCTACGGAAATTCATGCAGCAGCAGCCAACCAAGTGCCATGCATTCGATTTGATACCAAGGTATTGGAGGCCATCTGCTTGTCCGTGTAAACTGATAGTAGTGAAATACATCGCACACAAAGACACGACGGGTGTGTGTTCCGAGCAACTTACTCTGTTACCCGTCGATACATGACGATGTTATCACTCGAATCTGACGCTGGCAGTTCGGGTTGGCGCTTGTCGTAAGCGAAGGACGGAGAAGTGAGTGTGATAAGATACGGCGCGTTTGTCGTTATGGACTGGTGGACGCTACAACCTGAGGGCAGACCACATGCACTTTGCTACATTTGACGCTTCAGCAAGTACATAGCTTTCTTGCGCGAGTAGTCGGCTGTGGCAGCTTCATCGGTGTTCGGCTGATTTGCCGAACCCCAACGAATTTACACGGCGCCGGAAAACGAGGCAGACTCAGTCCGACCGGTCGCACGGTTAACAGTAACACACTACCCGCAAGTCTCTGTGGTATATGAGAATCAGACGGGGCTTCTACTCCAGTCGAGATCATGTATCTCGTAGACCAACGTCCTTCCCTTCCCAGCAACTAACTAACTGTAGTCGAATGCATCGCACGAAAACAAATGTGTGCGTGGTTATCGGGCGGAACGATATCGTCCGACCCGATGAGCACAGTGTCGGGAAGTCGAGCTCAGAGGGTAGCCACACGATCAACAAAAGGGTGGGAATTGGTCTGCATTAGATATCGCATGACCGAAGTGAAGGTATTGTTGGACAGCACACGAGAGCGACGTACTGAGGGGTATATACCGCACGAAGAGCTGGTTTTGTGGCACAAACGTTGGACTATATTTTCAAATGCTAGCAAGCTACCACCTAAATCGTCCAAACAAGTGGAAAGAAAGCTAACCCGTATTTCAACAGTTCTCATTAATAAGCTCAGTAGAATTCGACATCTTGTTGCAAAAGCGTCACTAAATGCGACCTCTTCATTGAAAAGTGTATTCTGTCATGTATGGGTACAACTGCAAAGGTGCCACATCACAATCCATGACGGTAGCATCAAGTCGTAGCTTGCCGGAACGTGAGAACGCGCTTCAATACAGAAGAATAGCCGTTTGCGAAGTTGGCAGTGAGCGCGATTGCTAAGAGGCACACCTTTGCAGTAATTAACGCTTACAAAAACGTGATGGTAGATGATCAGTACATCTCGTGTGGAGCTGCAACGTCTGCAATCATAAACTCCACCGGTGACCGTGTAACGCGATTCGCGCTATCCCTTTTGGTGGCATTTGTTCCTTTCGCTCGTACGGTTTCTTTGAGACTATTTTGTACACGACAAGCACGCCCAGCGACAATATTGCCACATTCTTAGCAGCTACGTTGTAGAAACTGTACGACGACCGAGCTGTGGCTTCAGCTACTCCGGATGGAGTACAGAAAGCATCAATCTTTCAGGGTCACGAAAAACAAGTCGCTGCTCGATTTTGCGTCAAACAAGCCGCATGCAAAGAATGTGGTGTCGATTGCACTCGCACTGCACAAGATAAAGCGCACCATTGTCACCGCACTTGATGGAAGCGATTATAATGGATTAGAACGCGCCATTACCACTGGCTCACACATGACTTCCAACAAATGCCAGCAGTCTTGATCATGGTATTCAGAGAGCTGAAAGATCGTCGATCGAATCGACAATCTCCTGGCAACAACATCGACGTTGACAGTTTTTCTGGTTACATTCGATAATCACGCCAAGCTCTAGGCCATCAATGGACTGCCGCGCGGTGTATGGTCGGTGTTGGCTTTGATAGCCAACGTTTTGTGCTAACGAGAATGCTATGCTTCCGCCATGTGATCTTTCTTACCGATCAATGTGGTGTACAGGGATGTCCGTAAAAGAAGCATAAAGCGATGCTATCCTGCTAGCTCTACTTCAGACTTTACCGTACGACGCCTACAGCATTCAAATTTCTTTCACTGTTTGAGTCGCCTGATGTTGTGTTTTAATGTCTGGTGAACATGCTTGCAGACGTTGTCTTGTTACCAGCTGATCGTTATTGAGTGCCAAGAAAATTATAGCTGTAGATGCATTGTAACAAGTATGCTATCGATGCGTATCGATTCTATGATACAGCGCTGTGTTAGCACTTCATAACTCCTCTGTCGCGTTTAACCGACTAGTCATTGCTGGAAAACTTGTGGAAAGAAAGTGGTCATGGTACTGATGCTATTAGGAAGTAGAAACGTACAATTTGGCCACGCAAACGCAAGCAAGGTGCTGCACTTCTTCGGTAAGGACCAGTCCCATCATTTCTATCTCATGAGGCAATGACACTATCCATGTCTGTATGATGTATAAACGAAGTCCATTGGAACTGGTATCATGAGCTCAAAATTCGGCTATTGAAGGACCTATACGAGTGGCCCTGGATGCGACTGTAGAGTGTCTGTACTTGATTCGTGAGCAGTATGAATATGATGCAATCTCGTCTCTTACACTGAGACTTACTCTGTAAATTTCCACGTCGCAATCAAGACCATATTGACCAGAATCTCAGATATTGACCTCATTCAATAGCTATGAAAACGATTTCCGTCACGAAAACCGAAGGCACTGCAATTGCGTAGCGCTGCTGCGTAAAGGTATCAAAGTAGACACATTTGGTACTGCCGTACATGTTGCTGGGTGTAACACGTTCATTTTATGGCATTCTTGCAGCTCGTTACAGCTATGGTGTTCCAATTACCCGTGGGCTGTCCTCGGACGAATTATACCTCCCGATACACGACCAATGATATGGCACGAGCTAGAACGTGTGGTCGGCTAGTGTTAAGCCTGCGTGTAAGATTTGTGCGGTACGATCCAGCTCAACAAGCATGTTTATTACTGAAGATCTACCTACCCTTCAAACGAAATAGCGGGTAGTAAATAGGCGAGTGATCATGAGCACGACACCGCGAGTGTGCATCGATGACCTGATATCCTGCTGTTGCTGTATTGCTAGTGTTGTGCATCGATCCAATACTGTTCGTAAGTAGAACAACTCCAGTCGTCTCGTCACGACGATTTGTCAGCTAGGAACATACGCGCTGCAGTACCATAAACGAAGCGAGAAAATGACAGCACCGCACGTGTGGACCTGAAGGTTTGGCCTTAGCTTTACAACAATGTGGTGTCAGCATACAAAAGTTGCCGCCAATTCAACATAGCGTTGAGCTATCGCGTCATCTTGTCGTCTCAAACAATGTGACAAGATGTATGTGGGGGTAAAGAACAAGTGGGGACTACGCTATGCACGTGTGGCGCTCACTTCAGTTTGAATGTGACCCGAACGAAAGACGATGGGCACGTATAAGCTACGTGTGTTGCAATGTGCTGTCCTACGTTTGCTAGAAGCGGGTATGACGACCATACAAACGACCGGTTCGCAGTAGATACAATATGCACGTCCGCCACTCTGCTGAGCAATGAGTATCAGAGATACAAGAGTCAACTCAACTCAACTTCCAATGAAGCCATAACTGCATCCGACGATGCAATGCCAACGCATGCAAAAATCAGACGACTTTGGCGTGACGACCGACCTGCTGATACATCCGTTTTATGTGTTGCACGCGGCTGAGGCATCCACGAACCGTTCGTGGCTCAACAAGCAGCCACGGCACGTGAGAATCAGGTGGCTTCGCACGCGGTGTACCATCGTCGCTCATGGAAAGGCGACTTGCAAAAGCGAGGTCAGGCAGGACCCACTGGTCGACAGGCCTCAACAATGAAGCTCCACATGGTTGGGTAACTGCTGCATCTTTGCATCGCAGTCAGCAGCATGACTGACTGACGCCAGCGGTATGCGAGACATCGCAGCAGCAGATGGACGTGACAAAAAGCAGACGCAAAACGGATGAGGTGCAGGCTCACGTGCCATCACGAACATCATGTCAGATAGGCCTCCGCGATGCCACGACTTCGTATCCCCGAGTCTTGCGTGTCAATCGATTTCAATAGCATTCGTGTAGGAACTCGGGCGAGTTGTTGCGTCGTGCAGTTGATGTCACGAAAGCGTCACGCTCGACTTCGACTGTAGTACAGGTCACGCACGCGTTCGACATTGACCGACTTGTCTGACGTACGATCTCAGCTTCAAGGAGCGACTTTGCTGCCCATTCGACTTCGGATTAGTGAGTACTATCAAGCTCGCCACTTCAGAGGTAGGTCCTCGACGCATGTGATTCCTGATTCGAGGATATGCGCATCACAGTTGCTACTGCTGCTGCAGCAGCCGCCATTGCCGCTTGATTTTGTCGAGCGCTTGGCACATCCAATAGCCAGTCGTAGTACATTTGGACCTGCCGACTTTGAAGCTCATTTCTCCGTGTCGTTGAGAAGTTCCGATTCGACGACTTGGTACGCGGTAGTGAATCTTCTGCTGGTGCATGGACCGGCTGTTGCAGCAGATCCTGTCGAGCGGCATGTCGTCGACTTGCCAAAGCAGTTGCGGCATCCAGTCGACCACCACATGGTCCCGATTCTTGACATGATTCGGAATGGTCTTGCCAGATAAGAAGACCTGTCCGTCCGTCCGTCCGTCCGCCCGGCTCCGCAACTACAAACTCGTGACTAACCCGAGGATCGCCTCGCTCAGCAACGCGAGGGTCAACTCGGACGAATTATTGCACACAATAATGGTAGCAATGATGTATAATGATGTCATAGCGTGAGGGTACAGGAAAAGCGAGATCATGGTTGACAAAGACTGTATTTCCATCGATACTGTGTCATCATGTACTGCATACAAGCGGTGTTATATGATCACGACCGCGCCGCGGTTTATCTAAACAAGCTCCGGGCTCTTAACTTAAGTGTCTTTTGTGCATTCTCCTCCGCTCAATCTCTCGTGCCTCCCTTCCTTCCTTCCTTCCTTTCTACTTGACGCGCTTGTCGTTGTGCAAGTCGCAGAACGCACCCCGTCGAATCGTGCTAAAGCACATGTGAGCCTGACACTTGCGGCCGCCACCGTGAGAGAAGCACTTGCCATTGCCCCGGTCCTTCTTATCGCACCCTTCGACACTACACGACCGCACGCCGCCGTGCAAATAGCAAAAGCCATTGCGTTGCGTGCCCTTCTCACAGCCTTCGTACATGCAGCGCTTGCCGCCACCGTGAGCACGACAGAACCCCCCGCCTTGGGACGACTTGCTGCAGCCCGAAAAGCTGCATCGTGCACCCCCTCCATGGCCTTTGCAGAGTCCATTGGACTGGGCTCGCTTGTCACAGCTGTCCATGCGACATGGTTTGCCCTTGATCCACCGACCGTCCTTATTCAAGAACGTGCCGGGTTTCTGAATGCAAGGACCCGTACTGGTCAAACTCGAGAGGCTGCCAAGAGGTCGCTGGTGCATGAGCGCAGTGAAGGACTGCGGTCGTGGCAGCTGATTCAGCTGCTGCTGGAGACGTCGAGGAGTCGGGAAGTTGAGGCTGAAGCTTGAGCTGGAAACGGCTTTTGCAGCATTGTTGTTGTTGTTGTTGTTGGACTGCTCTGCGTTGAGACTGCACATGATGGCGTCAATGAGGTCTTGGTCGCCAAAGACTGAGCTAAGGGACGTGCCAGCTTGAGACCGGGGCGTCGGGATGGCAGCTGAAGGTGCTCGGAACTCGAAAGGCTCGAGTTCGTGCTTTAACGTAGTGCTGCTGCTCAAGGTTTTCAACACACTCCGGTTGTTGGGGAAGTGGAGGTTGTGGTGGTTGTGGTGGTCGTGGTTGTGGTTGTGGTTGAGGGTGTCGCATGACATGGAGGTCCTGGACGACAACGACGACGAGGACGACGAGGACAACGAGCGGTTGTACACGGGCGGGAACATGGCGGAATCAACGGGCGAGTCAGGGGACCGGAGACACGAGTCAGTCATTTCAGTGGCAAGTTGACGAGGGGATCAATACGATTGCTACAGGAGCAAAACGTGGAGCAAGTGGGAGGGGTAATCTGTCGTGCTTCGCGCTCGCCGATTTCGAAATGACAAGTGACCGAGTGACAGACTGACCGAGTGACTGACTGAGTGACTGAGTTACTGAGTGTTGGTCTGTCGGTTGTTTGTGTGCGTGTGGTCAAGCGACGGGAGCTGCCGGCGAGGGTGGGAAGAAACGGAGACGGACGTAAACGAGCCGCTGCGAAACTTCAGAGCGTGATACTGTCCAGTCCGTGTCGCGCCTAGCAGATGGTCGGTATCGAGTTGCTAGAAAATCGACAAATGATCAAATGAGGTCTTTTGCCACGTGGGGCAAGTGCACCTGCTTCAAATGACCGTGCGACTTGCACCAAGTGAGGTCGGTCGTGCAGCGATGAGAAAGTAGGCAGCAGTTGACAAAGGGCCCGTCGTCGTCCTCTCTCCTCCTCGCGTCTAGTCGCGGGCTGGTGGGATGATCCGTTGAGTGCCGTACTGGCAACAAGTCTCTTGGCCTGACGGCAGTCGCGTGCGGTTGTAGCATTGTAGCTTGTCGTTCAGGCCGAGTGAAAGGTCTTGCTATTTGTATGGAAATGTGCGGAAATTCCCACACGGCGTGGCAGCAGGAGAAGACCAAGCGATCTTCAAGCATGTGCGCGTGGTACAAAAGGCGAGCACATGGAAAGGAGAGACGGGCGAGGTAAGAGGCCGTCCATGTGCTTGATGCTCTTATCTCCATCTCCTGGCTGCAAGTGGATATCGCTAAATACACTCCTGTCGCTCAAGGCAGCGGATAAGGCAGAAAACGTTCGACCTCTTGCGGTGCTTTTGTTGGTGATGATATCGGAAACTGAAGAAAACAAAAAAATCTCAGCAAACTTTATCCCGTGAGCGACGTCGACGAGAGTGTGTATGTGTCACTGCAACTGATCTTGGCGGGGCAAGACTTGCGGCGGCAAATCGTAGAAGTGAGTCCCGCGGCGTAACCGCTGCTGAGCGAGCCCATCGCCATGCGGACGACAAAACTTCGATACACGCACCAAGTGTACGCGCGGCCTGGCAATTGGCGAAACTTCCCAAATGGTGTGACGTTCGCGTCCAATCCTTGAACGAAAAGCGGACGGTCAACGTTCGGAGTTGCACTGCGGGATTAGCTCACGTCGAGCACTGGACGACTTTGTGCAATGAAAAGGCACGACGGGCCTCGTAGATCGGAAAGGCGGTGGGACACTTGACTCGGCAGCGGAAAAGCTCGAGTGTATCTACTGATAAAAATGACATTGCCAAGAGACCAACGCCAGAAGAGGTGGCAGAAAGGGTACGCAAAAGTATAGCAGTGGTGCTTGTTGCAGCCAAGTGTTGCTGCGCTGAAGAGCGCATGAGCTCGAGGCGTTGTGCTGTCGCCATTGAAGTAAGTCGCGTACGTGGCACTGATTAACCGTCACGCTGTCAACGAGCGACAAATAAGAACTGAGATGTTATTCACGGCGAGTGTCAGCTCCAGAAAGATGTGGTGGGTGGCAAAAGGGGGCTATCTACGACACCAGTCAGTCAACTGATGGCATAATTGTCGTGAATCAGGACTCCAGACTAGACAACTTGCGTGCACGCTGGGCCACTTTGCACGAGGAACGGTACAGAATCGGCTGGCCTGCCGTTTGTGGAATGCAACCGCACGAGGCTGGGCTGGGCCACAGTTCTCTGTCGGCACAAGGTCAAGCTGCTGCGCAGTTGTGCTCCGGCCTAGTTACGTGGTTGTTTTTTTCGTTGTACGGCTTGACGGACACTTTGAGACAGGTAGAATAGACCCGTCAGAAGACGTGCTCGTATCACAGGCTTCAGTAGTGCCCAGTAGCAATAGGTGGGGACAGCAGTCTTGGACCGCGCGTCCATCCACGTTTCGATCTGTCTACTTATCGGTCAATCGATGCCGTCAAGTGGGCACAAAGGCAGAACAGTGCGACCATTAGCGCTGAACGCGGAATGCAGAGAGACTCATGAGCCCGGGGTTGTGGTCGATACTAGCTGGGATCAATCGTTGGCTGACGTAACCTCATCTCGTCCAACGTGATTGCCGCCTGCCTCATCGAGATGATCTATAGGCCCCTCTCGCAGCTGGCCGGCATGTCGATGGTTTGCTTCCATCATAACATGTCGCATCGAAGGGGCACAAAAAGGAATGGCTTTGACTCCAGTAAAAGCCCGGTCTGTGCTGAAGTCTGCCAATAAGCTCCTTCTCGTTTGTGCTCAAGTAGTGACCACCGCCACGGCCACCGAGCAGAAAGGCGCGGACGTTTGTGTGTTGAGGGGGTCCTAAGGACGCGGTAACTTCCACCGCTGCCGACATAACGAACCGACCTGAGCCACTCGATTTCGATGCAGGACTGCTGGCGCGTCTGGTAAACACGAGCCCTCACGCAGTCGTTCGGTCGACCTCACGCCGCCAGACGCCAGACGACACGTCTGACGAGGGAAGCCATTGCAAGGGGCGGGGAGTCACGGTAGCATCCCATGTGCCTCGCCTAACACGTTTCACCCAACGTACAAGTATTCGTGCTCTTATGCAATCTATTGTCGTAGCGAAGACTCGTCAGCACCTGGTTTGCCCGCATCTCGACATCAATGGTTGACCTCGCTTTCTTTCCGTTGCCATGTGGTCCTCGAGCTGATCCCCTGCTCGGCATCACATGTGCTTCGACCAGACGGATCGAACCAACTGCGTCACACATGTAACCTGGTGTCGCTCAGCTTTGATAGGACGCTTCGAGCGCTGCGCGTCTCGCTGCGGACAGTCACACCTCGTTCGTCCGCGAAAGCAAGTGATCTTTCTTTCCTGCTGGAGCCTTTTAGTCAACAGCAACAACAGCAGACGCAAGAGAAGAAGAAGAACAACAACAACAACGACAACTGCAGCAGCAGCAGCAACAGCAAGCCCCCCAACTGTTCAGTCGTCTCTCCCGCCAACCTCCACGAAAGGGTGGACTGGACTTGCCTGTTGGACCTCCGCCTGCAAACGAAAAAATCAGGTGCGCCGCTTTTCGTTCCGTTTTTTTCTCACGCGCTTCGCCTCTCTTTCGGGTTTCTTCCGGCCTTCCATACTAACACGAGGACATGGTGCTTCCACCATCCACTTCTGCCTGCTCAGCTCGTCTTTTTTCGTCGCCGTCTAGCACAACTTCAACGGGAAAACCGCTGCAATTCCATCTTCCTTGCTGAGCTCCAAGCGCGCTCGTCCTGCCTCCTGTAACGTCATGGACGAGGTGGCATTTGTGGAATCGCTGTTTTCACCCGAGATGCGGTCGAGTAGCGGCCCGACGCCCTCAAGCGTCTACTCGTCACCCTTATCGTCGTCGTGCGGTCGAGTCAAGACGCTCAACAGCACAGGCGGCAACAGCAACTTCAACCACAACATCAACTCCCTTGTCCCTGCTCCCCCAAACTCGCTGCTGGGCGGCGGGATCGCCCTTTCGCAGCTCCACGCGCCGTTTCAGCCACTCACGGCCGACGATGCGCCTCTCTTCGTGCGGCTCCATGACGACGACGTGTTCAGTCAGATGCTCAACGATCAGGACTTTCCCGACTTTGCATCGGGGCTCAAGCGCGAGCACGACTCGAGCGGCAAGTTGCTCACTTGCAGCCCGACAACGTCGTTGCTTCTGGAGCCTCTCGAGTTGCCCCGACTACAGGGCGACGTACCGGTGAAAGACAGTGGTGTCTACTCTGACATTATGAGCTTCCAACAGTCGTCGTTTCGACCGAGACGGAGTGGGATATTACCGACGACTGCCGGGCCGATGACTACTCCGATCGGACATGGCTACACTGTTGACACGTGTAATGCGCAATTGATGGCAGGTGTGTCGTCGACTATGAGTGCGCCCATAGGTTTTGATCCAACGAGTGGCGGTGGCACGTTTGTGAGTTACGCGCCACTGGCGGCACATCCGTGGATGCAGGAGGAAGTCTCGACGCCAATGAGCGCACTGCCAGCGCCTGCACTTGATGAAGACCGTGATGGCACTGGCGACAGGGGGAGGGGAACGTGATATCCACCAATCAAGTCCCGGGTCCGTTGACAGGTTCAACGTTGAAGCAACTTCAACTTCAACGGCAACCCAGTCCTCCCAGTATGCTCCCACCGCACCTCTTGGTCTCTGGATCTCGACGTTACGGAATGCGTCGTCTATGGCCAGTGATGAGCACCGCACGAGGCAAGCGCTCGAGCACTCGAGCGAGACGTTGAACGGGCGATCGCCGCTGTCGATGACGATTTCGCCGCCCTCTTCGTTGACCAGCAAAGCGCTCAAGGAGCTCATCGTATCGACGGACTTTGGTCTGCCGCCATCACTTTCCACCTCTCGACAAAAGCGGGCGCGGTCGAGCAGAAAGGACGGTGACCGTTGCACTAAGGGCGCTGTTACAAAAGCTGCGCGAACAATGGCGGCGTCGCCCGTTCGTCAATTGTGCAACACGATTGAATCCAAGGGCAACGTTGCGGCATCAACGACAAAAGGAAAGAAATGTGTTGAAGGTGGTTGCACGCGACGGGCGCAATCCAATAGTCGCTGCAAAGCGCATGGGGGTGGGGCTAGGTGTCAATATGCCGGACCTGGTGGCTGTGCGCGAAGCTCGCAAGGCGGCGGCTTCTGTCGCGCGCACGGCGGCGGCAAACGCTGTGAGTTCCCAGGCTGCACACGTGGCCAACAGCGCAAAGGCCGGTGCTATGTGCACGGCGGCATTCGCAAGTGTCAATACGGCTCGTGCGAGAAGAAAGATCGCGGCAATGGATTTTGTATCGCTCATGGCGGCGGCAAACGCTGCGAGCATGCCAATTGCTCCCGAGCTGTTCGGCGCGGTCTGTTATGTCAGATCCACGAGACGCAGCAGGTTGCTCTTGTGACGGAGAGGCAGCAGCGGGAGAGTGTATTGGTATAAGTCCGTTGCACTTTGTACAAGTAAGTTGACGAGCTGCTTCTGTATACTTACGCAACAAAGCTGCAGTTTATGATGATTTTTACTTCAATGAACACAAGGGATGGACATACGGGAACACAAGCAATAACAAACCTGCTGACATCAATTTGCGTTATGAAATAGTGTGGTAATTAGCTTGCGACAACGTCAAGTTCGTTCGATAGCGATCGTACTCGACAACTAACCTGACGTAGGCACTCTCCCGGTAAAGTTTGTACACGCAATGCCCTAACGACATCAGATCGTCAAAGTTCAGTTCTTGAGTCGATCAAGTCAGCACAACGAGGCGCTCGACATGCTACTACGCTGCCAACTTTCACGGCGGCGCCATAGGGAGAGAAAGCGGGAAAAAGCTTGTTCGAGATATAGTAGTTCCAAATCTAGCATCCACTTGTGCATTAGGACCACCGAGGGTGCTTAATGCATGCTAATATGCCCAGTTTCATGTCACCGATGTGGCGTCCGCCATATGGCGAGCCGCCACCACTGCTGCCAAGCTCTCACAACACGGCTGCGAGCTGCGAACATGTTCACCACTCTTAGCTGCTCGTCGCAGTAGACACGCTGCTTCACAGGTGTTGGGTCCGTTGCATGTACTTCCCTTAGTCATCACTACGAGTCCTCGAGGTAAGTCCACGGACTGATCCACACGCTGCATGGCCTCAAACACCTGCGACAGCTTCACCCAATGGGGCGGGTACTTGAACCTCGCCACATCCATGAGCAGCACCATGTCCCGCTCGACGTGGTACCCGCCAATGGGCGAGAAATGTCCGTCGCCACTTTGGCCGAGCACTTGGCGACTGTAGTTCAGCACGACAATCTCGGAACTCGTGGCGCAGCTGTGCTGGACAATGGCTCGGAACTGCTCGAGCATCAAGGAGCTCGTCGCCCGGTACTCCTCCGTCATGACGCCGTTGCAGCGCGCGAGACAGACAAACTCCGACATGCTAATGCCTTTCTCCTTGGCAACTAGAAGCGACGTGCAGCACTCAAAGAGCTCTTCACTGAACCAGCGCCATGGCCCTTTCCACAGTCGACCAGGGTCGATCTGCAGCGCGTTCAAGCACATGGCCAGCGTCGCTAATCCGCAGAACGCGGGCTCGCCTTGGGTAATGAACTGCTCTGCCAGTGGGAAGTAGATCTGCATGTAATTCGGGTCGCTGCTAGTGATGGCTTCGGTGAAAAGGGTCCGTCCTGCCGGACTCGAGAAGGCGATGCAGTCCTGTGGCAAATGTCGACGGTGGCAACTGCTCTGGATCCCACTGCTGTTGAGACGGAACGCGACGCAGCCGTTCACGACTGGGGACATCGCGTCACGTTCGGTCAGCCGATTGTCTCGCTCTTGTCGCTCGTGACGGCGCTGCTCTGCCACTATCAGCGTCTCCTGTTTCAGTCTCGACTTGCAGTCGCTATTCATGTTTTGTGACGCTGTCCGACTTGAATCCGGGTCGACAAATAGTGCGCGACTGACTGTTCAGTCGCTAAATTTGCGATTCTAGAACGAGTGAACAACGAGTTTAAGGCCACTAGATTTGTAGCGTATCCGGATAACGAGCGAGGAGAATCAGACGAGCGAGCGATAAAGCACATTTTCATTGTGGTGCATCAGAGGGTGATTTGTCCGCTTGAGCGTTTACGAAGAATAGGCAGTTGTTTACGTCTAACAAATGCCTTCACTTGCTGATGCTGAGTTCTGATCTAGTCGAGCCAGAATTGCTGGTACATGGGTTGTTGTCAGACTGGAGGTGACGGATACTGTCATCGAGTCGCTGCTGGACAAGGCCAGGATCAGAGACTTCTAGTCGAGGGGAGTATTGGTAACGGTGTTGCGTTACTGATACTAATGACCATATGTCATGGACGACACTGTGTGATAGTGTGTAACGATGGGATCGACTCAACGTTTTGTTACTAATATTATAGAGTCGATATCGATAGGCTTAGAGTAGTACAACGAGACGAACTAAGGACCTAGCTAGATGATAATTCACTTTCCATTTTACCTTCTTCTAAGCTCTCCCACCTCAACTCGCTCTTGGCTGTTGCCAAAAGTCAAAACTTCGCTCGTTTCCATAGACGTGTCTAACTGATGTCCGAAAAGACTGTCACGGTGTCCCGATGTCGCAGGATACTTCAGCCATAAACACGACGTCATACGGTTTTTTGGAGTCGAAATACCGTTTAAGCATTGGATCACGTGGGTGCAAAACTGTCTCACTCGATTCGAACGCGCTGTCCATATTGGCAAAAGCACAAATTTCAGTATAGCTCTTCTTGACTGGAGATCCGAACCGAGACACGATCGATCGAACCAGTGTTTGCGTCGCTTCTAAACTGAAAAAGTGCGCGAAGTCTCGGTAACCTGTTGACCCACACACAGTAATTAATCATTTAGTTCTTTATAGCCGACTGAGTATGACTTCAATGAAGTGGCGGATCTAGTCTCACTACTCGTCGCGTATGCAGATCAAAAGCAATACAAACGCTTCATCCGTAGCCTAAAAGTGTCTGCATCGTCCAGTCCTGAAGTAGTCTGTCTAGTCCAACGGTGTCATTCCTTCAGTAAGTCGTAGCAGGTTCCACACGTGATCCACGTCGTTGCTCGACAGTGTCACTATCGCACAAAGTAGGGAGGGACCGCCGCATCTCATGAGTCCTAGAGGCCTGCGTGCACGTTTCCGGCACAAGCAGAGCGAGCCGAGCTCTAGCGTCGAGTTAGGTGCCTCTTCTGCCAATGCTTACTTCACGGCCAAACGGCTCCGTCAGCGCGTGCCTCGCAAGGCCAAGCCAGCGCCTCGAATTGAACGAGTGGCTGTGGTGACGAGGACTCTGTCGGACGGCCAAAGCCACCAAATCGATCCCGAAACAGGCAGAAGAAAGTTGAGCCCGCAGGAAGAACTTAAGGGGCACATCAGAGCTCTGCAATTGCCATTGCAGGACGAAGTGATCGCCGAGTTACGAGCGACGGACGAGCTCGTGGTGGGCACGACACTGACTCAATGCTATGATCAGGACTTCTTGATGTGGAAGAGCGAGGTGCTCGCTGGCTATAACCTGCTCTTCTATGGAGTCGGTTCGAAACTGTCACTTTTGCAAGTCAGGTTCTCCTACCTTTCTCTAGATGCATACAGATGCCAAGACTAAAGAACGTGGTGCTTTGTTTTCATCTGTTTCTGCAGAAGTTTGCGGCCTCGTATTTCAGTGACGGCGTCGTCATGCAGGTACATGGCTATTTGCCGGTGGTCTCGCTGAAGTACGTGGTGGAAACGATTCAGGAAAAGGTAAGGGAGTGCTGGTCGAGAGCTTTTGTGTTCGGATAATCATAGAGGCCATGTTCTGTCGGATTCTCATGCTTTGTGTGTGTCAGATATTGCACATTGAAGCAAAGCCGAACCAGTCACTTGTTCGACAGGTACCTAGAGGCTGCTTTCCATTGATTGTGTCTGCTTGTGGCTCATTTTTCGTGTGTGGTTGATTTCTCTAGTGTCAAGACATTGCTTTGATGAAATCATCATCATCGCAGCATGTGCTTCAATTGTATCTGATAGTACACTCGATAGACGGTCCGGCATTACGCAACCCAGAAGCTCAGACATGCTTAAGTTGGCTCGCGAAAGCACCAAGTATCGCTCTTGTTGCTTCAATGGACCATATCAACGGCCCTTCAATTTGGAAAGAGGAGGACTTTGACCGATTCGAGTGGCTAAGCCAAAATCTTGACACGTGCGAGCCGTACACGGACGAGATCGAACTGAGGCTGACCAAACGATCAAAGACAGCGGATGCAACAAGCAATGGAGTCAAGTATATCCTACAAAGTCTCACGCCAACAGATGTAGCCACACTGGAGGAACTTGCGCGCCAGCAGCTCGCAGCAGCAGATCCGTCTAAAAAGGAGTAGCCGGAAGCTCAAAGTCATGCATGCACCATACCAGTCCGTGTACGAGGCCTGTCGTCGAAAGCTGCTGCACTCTACACCGCTGGCAATGAAAAACTCGGTGAAATGTCTCGAAGACCACGGTTTGCTGAAACAGAGTCGCGTTAATACTATGGAGTATTTGGAGATACCTCTGCCGGAATCGATCATCAGGGCCGACATACTCCGTGAAGAAAAAGCAGATGACTGAACATGGACGACGAGTCAACGAGATACACACATGCACATTTGACGTACTGCGTATGTTGAACAATGATACGAAGATGCTTTGTTGAAAACATTGATATAGGCTACATGAACGAGCTGTCTACATTATAATGCGATCTTACTGGTATTGATAGCCTTTACTCAGAAACGTAGACTCGGTGGTGCATGATGACTGATAAATGCGTTCTCAACTAAGCACAAAACCAATTGCAGCAAAGTCTTGCATTTAATTTTAAACAAATCAGATAATCTACCATCTACAAGGGAATATATATGCAGTCACATTTTTTCATTAACTCACACCGTTCCTGCCAATGTGGTACTACGCTTCTGCAACTTCTATTCTTCATTTTCGTGCAGCTGATCATTGTGGGTGGGAGCTACTATAGTTACTTACGGATGTAGATAAAAAACAATGCAAAAGCATAATATTCACAAGATAGTGACACCTGCTGTATCAAGCAAGAGTCGCTTCAACTACATTCAACTTATTCTGATTGCCGATTATTAGATACGTGATGCGCTCCGTCGGCAAGATATCCCAGTATCAGGAGAATGATGTCGAGAGACGAACAAAAAACAGCAGCATACCGCACATATAGTCGATTACACCTGTTCGCACCTAGGCTACTCAATGGCGCATAAAATGAGGAAGCACCATCGTTGTGGTATAAATATGCCTCATTTGTAACGGAGTTTTACAAATGTTGTGACAACTAGATACATTGGTGTAGTACCCACAGAAAGAGGTCAGTGTCACTGGTAAGGCATACTTTTGTCCCACATACGCTGAGCGATAATACCGTACCATATCGGTAACAGTCAGAGGATATTTATCAGGATTAAGGCTTCATTAAGGCGACGTAGTTCTCGTGTAGTGCACAAAAATAACTAAGATGAGGGCTATTTGATTAGGTAGCATAGCATAAGTTTGCAAGTTTAAAGAAGTACGTAAGGTTGATTATCGCTATAAATTAGGAAATATAATCAGTTCCTCGTTCAAATAATTACAGAAACGTGTCTTTTTAAGACGTGTCTGGTCGTAAGAGGCAAGGGCCTGATATAAGGCTAAGTAATCTTGTGCATAAGTGCCATGTGATTCCTTGGCGTCGTAGTCCCCTGAACCAGGACTAGAAGATTAAGAGCTTGTACATACACTAAGAGTTAAGTCTCACCAAGTCTGTAAGACTTGAGACCATTTAGTTGTAACCGCTTATTTTGATATACTAAGAGACTCTACGGGTCAAGAAGCCTTGCTCTGACAAAGGAGTAAGGATGGATCCGCTACACTCAGTAGCCTTCGAAGTCAATCTACAGCTGAGTCTGTAAAATACTGTTCCTATGTAAGGATGGAAACAAAGATAATTCCCTTTGGGACCTAAGGATAAGTGCTAGAGATACTCAGAGCGGTAGTCGGGAACGAACAAGTAAACAGAAAATATTTTGGGAGTTTGCTCCGCCAAATTAGCCATACCGACTGCGTTCTCGTTTCCTTTCGGTCTGTCAGGGCTAGAAAAAAACCATCCGACTATGTCCAGAAGAAACTGAGAACTCTAATCGCTGCCATGCAGCTTGCCAGCTTACTAGAAATGGGCTTGGTTGCCATCTTCATCGAGGGCCTTCGTACGGGCGTGGCTCGAATGGAAGTATTCCGTGGACACCTCACCTCCTTTGAGTTGGCTGCAGGTATCGCGTTGAACGCTGAGCTCAACTATAAAACAGCCCGTTTTGGCACCCGTGAGTACAACCTAAACTCGGTGAACTGCTTTAATTCATTTAAAAAGGCCGGAGCATATGGACCATCGTCTCGCCGAGACGAACAAAGAAGCAGAGCTTTGAGATGTTAAAAGGCATTGAAACATTCGACGAAGTGTCACGTGCGGAAGCACAAAGCATTTGCCACCAAATTTACCTGTTCGCAGGACACAACAGGATAACTAGCCGTAAGGAGTCCCGTGTGTTCTTACACGGGGTGATACAGCCAGGGTTGTTGGTCGCAAATGCGCCGATTATGGGCTTTGGCAAACCCTGGTCGATTTTGTTCGACTCCGGAGCATCTGGTAATTATGTCAGACGCTGTTATTCTGAAGCAAGCTCATGTTACGTTAAGGCGATAGAAGCGTTCAAGGGTGATACGATCACTGTTCGTTTGGAGAAGGGAGTTCTATTCACTGCACTCAAAGTTCCTGTGAACTTGTGTGTACAGTTTTTCGACTTTGATTGTATTGAACGCTGTTAAGTCCTTGATTTGGACTCGATATATGATCTCATTCTTAATATGTGTAACTGGGTGAATCGTTACATAACAATTTATAAGAAATTGTTAATAGAATATAACTATAAGAGTTATATTCTCAGAATATTGTCATAAGGACAAATATTCTGTAGCACTTACGAGTAGTTCCTAATTGGTTGATAAAGGCCAGTATATCAACCAACGAAGACGCGCAACGACAGACGCACGCAATGAGTGGTGAGCAGATACTTGATATGCACATTTGTATTCAGACATAGTTAGATGAGGATAAATAGTGATTTATTAACAGATATTAACTATGCTAAATACAGTTCTACTTTTTACTTTAACCAAGTACTCGCTTCTTCTTACCGTCTTCCTCTGCACGTACGAGTGTACGTGAAGTTACGAAGCACCGCCTTATTCTGTCATCAGAATAAGTAGCTTGTACTGTCACCAGTATAAGCTTCAGGGTGCCCCGTTACAATATGGCTTAGCTTGAGCGCCATGATCTATGGATCGACGGATGTCGAAAATGTCAGGAATCACGCGCACTGCCCCTAGCGAAGATTTAAAGAGTCATGAACCCACCTCTGATGTATATTAGAAGCATTTTGACGCGAGCCACTGGCTTAAAATGTCAGTGTGATGGACATCGGAATGCCAGAGTTAGTTGATTCTGACGATGTCAAAGACACGAGCAAAGATCACAGCTCGATATGTTATAGTAAAGCGGCACGTACTCCACCAAGTGATAGTCTTTGTGAAAAACATTACTGAATGATGCAATAATCGTTCACCAAGCGTCAATTCATTATGCATTGAACTTATCAGAATAGCGTGAAGGGCACTTAAGTACCCACTGAGTGAAGTTGGCTGTGATAGCGACGCGCTAAATGTCGATTATGACGTTGTTCTTGAAATACCAAAGCATCCCGAGCTTGAATCAGCGGATGCGAGTGAAGTGGCACGTTATCCACGTGATGATGATGACATGTCAAACGACTTGTCATCGGATGCCGATAGAGACGTCACCTCTAGTTTCGAGCAAAATAATCTCGATGATGGTGAGATACGTATCATATAGCGTATATTGTGTCACAAAGTGATGATAAATTTTAAATATATGCACTCTTCAACGGAGGGACTCGTGCCTGTGATGGTGAGATTAGCCTTGAGTCCATACTCTCGGCAAGTTTACTCTTTGATCTCGAAGAGGTGCCGTTTGATGAGTTTAGTTTCTCACTAAAGAATGGATACATTCTAGAGGTGATGATCCGTCGACCTGACGTCATAGAGTTAACTTTTCTTCACTTTTATATGAAGCCGTTCTGGAGGCCTCAAAAGCATCAATCACTGCGCGTAGTAAATCATTAATACTGAAAACCCTCCTGATTCGTTTTATTCCTTAGTCTGGATATTTTAAGATGCGGTGAGACACGACCCACCCTCTGTTCTACGTCCAGATGGAGGCGTAATTCATGAAATTGACCAAGCACTGTGTCACACGACAGTGGCCCTTGAATAAGGAGCAATGTGGTGTCATTGAAGACTTCTTCCGTGCCAAACACGAGGCAGAGACAGTACTTAAGAGTGTGAATTCGTATTAGACACCAACAATTTGTGGTAATAAGCCGAACGGCAACTGGCATATTGTGCATGCTTACAATAAGCTTATAGCGGCTACTAATCCGGTACAGACACTCAATACTAATAATGATGTTTTCCGAAACAACATGGTAGATTGTACTAGATATAGCGCACTCGACTTGGTCGATGGATATTATCAAGTGCTCATGCGATAGTGTAATACTTCGCTTACAGAAGTGAGCACCCTGAGTGGTATGCTATGGAAATGGCTGGTGATGTTTCAAGGGTTGTCTGATGGTCCGGCAACAATTAATCTTTTGGTGACGCAGCTTTTATACAACCACATCAGGATTCCGCACCGAGAAAAGTTAATGATATTTTTTATCCATTGTCGTGCCAAAAAGGTTCGATCAGATATTAATAATCACTTCGGTCATTCGCGAGCCTTGCTTGAGTGCGTGCGCAATAATAAACTGGACGTTTACGAGTATAAATGAATTTTTGATGCAGGGGAGATTCCTTTTCTAGAATGTTTCATGTGTAACCGCAGCCTTACGGTAGATCCCTCCAATGTCAAGGCTATAGTGGACTAAACTATTCCTAAGTATCAAAAAGACTTGCGAGGGAAAATTACACTGATATGATTCGACCATCAACGGATCTTCTTGGCGCTGTGACAACAACCATGCTGCTTCATTTCAGGCAATAAAAGGGATCTCCTCCATGCTCTCATCATGGCGTTGCCAAATCCTGTGTACTATTTTAGTGTTATCTGCGATGCACCCAATTTTGCTATAGACAGCACCCTGTTACATTATAATGCTGCTGGTCTCAAGCGAGTAATGGCATTTGGTTCAAGTCATTTGAAAGCTGCTGAAAGAAATATTCAGTTCATGACAAAGAGCTTCTTGGTATGAAGTATGCGCTCGTCAAATTTTGAGTCAATACGCTGGGAAACAAGCCATTTGTCGTTTGCACGGATTATGTTTTAATACGCACGGCAACACAGTCGCCCCACCTCTTACAGAGAATGCATCGGTGTTTTTCTTCACTTCAGTATGTACTTCGAGGTAAAGTATAATCCAGGCTAACAAAATGTGTTGGCATACGCCCCCTCTCGCCAGCCTGATTATTAGGCTGCTCAAGACACGACTGTA